GCATCCAGTACTCTTCTACTGTAGTCTTCGTCAACATTTGTTCCCATATATCTTTTCCTATCCAACTTTTGGTCTTCATAAAAACTAAGAAATAGTTAATTCTATTAAGACATTTATAAATAAATTAATAATTGTTCTAGTTTTTTCTGGAAGATGGCCAAACCATGGAAGGAGTTAAACGTAAATATTTTAAAGGAAATAATATGCTATTACTTAAGTTACTTTAAATCGGAAAAAAAATCTCACTACTAAAAAAGTGTTATTTAATGAACTTACTTTTTATCTTTCAGCTTGGCACCATCTGTTCTCAATCTATCAGCAAGAATATCTTTTTTAAAATTCTTAGTCGAGATGTCAAAAAGCTGATAGGATTCTGTGAGAAAATCTTTCTCTAACTTTGATTGCTTAAGACTGCTGCTCCAGTTCAGAGAAGACAATTTAATCAATTTCTTGTATTTTAAATTAAGTTTAATGATTTTGGTCTTTATATTGTACCCAGAAATCACAAATTTCTTGCCAAACTTAGCATTATCCCAAATTTTTTTAATCCTATTTACCAAGCAAGAGTTATCAGGATCTGTACAAACACCATTTTCACAAACAAGATCCTTGGATTTCGATTTCAATTTGCAGCCAACATTAGTAGAAGTGGGTTTGTACTTTACTTGTGACTCGCAAAGGATAAATTGATAGTAGCTTAGAAAATAACCATTAGATGGAAGCTGTCTCTGAGGTAATTTCCTCAGTGAATACTTCAATAGGTAAATATATCGCAACCTTTCTGTATTTTTCCGTTTTTTTTTATTCTGTTCCATCATCTTCTTTTCTTTAGCTGTTCTACCCATCTTTATATGAATTTCAAAATAATCAGTTTTTTAACTGGGTTCATACTAAATTTTACACTTGCATTAAAAACCTATGAAGTCGTTATTTGCTCTCGTATCATATTTTATCTAAGTTTACCGTTAAGGCTTTTATAACTGTTTACACAAGAATTTCTCTGTGCACAAATTAGAATTCCTTCGTGCACAAATAATTCCATTTATGAATTTTTTCCTTTAAAAAAAATTTTTAAATGGAGTTATTTATGAACCAATCCATGAGGAATTGTACCAACTAATAATATTGTCCAGAGGGAATTATATCAATTGCTAACAATTTATATATTTATCTATTTATATATTTATATTTATATATATATACACACATTTGTGTGTATATATATATATATATATATATATATATATATATATACATATATATATATATATATATATATATATATATATATATATATATATATATATATATATATATATAAATATATATATATATATATATATATATATATATATATATATATATATATCTTCTCTCCTTTATTTTAAGACTGCACTCTTTTGATGTTGTTTCTAATCAAATTGACCAAGTTTTTTCACTTTATCTTCACAACTTATGTCTTTTTTTTTGATCCTAGTCATTGTTCAGTTTCTTCACATTTACCCATAGGCGCTTCTGATCTTTATCCCCTGTCTTTTGTTTTCTTTATTCTGGAGTTCGTTTTAATCTGTGTTTTTGTTTCTGTAAATATTATACATTACAGTTCTATAAGAAGAAATAAAGAAAACAATTACAAATTACAGTTATCCTGCATAATATAAGTAGACATAGAGAAAACATTCCTAAATTGCAGTTAACAATTTCATGTCTTCATATCCACATGTAATAATTTGTTGCGATTTGCTTATTGCATTATTACATTTTTGCAGTTAATGGTTTCATGTTTTCATTTCATATCCACATTATATTTGGTATAACCTTGTGTTTGTGTCTTTTTTTTTACAATTTTTAAAAGTGTTAAGATTTGCTTATTGGAGAGCCATGTGCATTGAATTATTTGGATCAATACTTTTTAAATAGGTAAGCAAATAATAGTAGGAATAATTTAACAACATTATTAATGTTGTTAAATTAAAACAAGCAGTTTTAATTTAACAACATTATTTGATAACTATTTAATTTTAATTTTGTTTTGTTTAACAAGTTAAATTATTATAAACAGTACATCCTAAAATGTCTTCAGAGGAAAGTTTTTCAGAATTCACAAAGCAATGTAAAAATCAAAATTCTGTTTGTATTCTTTTTTGAGAGGATCAAAATACTAACAGCAAAATGTAAAATATTTTATGAAATAGTAAAAACCGCTGGTTCAACAACAACATGGCAGCACACACCTTTAAGAACAATACACAATATTAATGTATTAAAATGGGATGTTGTTCAAAATGAAGGTCCAGAAAGCAGCGCATCAAAAATGATGATTTCAAACTATTTATTCAACACAAAAGATAAACCACTTTCTGCAATTGTATCACAAATCTGTGCCTTAGATAATATGCGATTCAAAGTTTTCTGTATGTCTATCGATTTGAGAAATTTTCTTTTGGCTAGAAGCGCTCAAGATTATGCATTACCAAAATCACCTAACTCAATTCGCAAAATGGTTTTAGAATACGCACAAAAAATGTGGGCTAAAATGATGCAGGATTTTATAAACTTAAAAGATGGAGCAAGATTTTGCCTAACTCTAGATGAATGGACAAGAAACTGATGCTATTTAAATGTGAATGTCCATGACAAGAAACAGTTTTGGAATTTAGGTTTAATACCTGTTGAAGGAGGTTTCCCTTGCATAGAAATGCATTATGGCTTTGAAAACCACATTGTAAAACAACAATCTAAATATTGATAAAGATATTATGTCTATAAAAACTGATAGGACATCTGTGATGCAAAAGGTTGGACAGCGCTTACCATGCAATCAGCAGTTGTGCTTCGTACATGTGTTACATTTAGTATCGTTTTTTGAGATTTTCATCATTCAAGAATTTAGTTTTTCAAGAACATCAAATGATATTCTTCAAGTATACAAGAATTTGGAAAACAAGAATTTGAAAAACAATTGAAACTTATTATGGACACTAGAACTAGATGGAAAAGCTTAGTTGAAATGCTTGAAAGGTTTAACAAACTAAAAAGCTCTGTTAGAAAAGCATTGATTGACATTGTATATAATATCATTATTCTAGATGCTGAAATTTTGTCAATTAAAAACATTATCTCTGCACTTCTCTCAGTGAAGATTACTGTTGAAGCCCTTTGTCGAGAAGAATCAAATCTGCTTTCTGCTGATGCTGCATTTTCTTTTATGTTTGAGAATTTTGGATCTGATGAACTTTCATTAAAATTAAAAAAGAATTAAGAAGACCGACTAAGCCAAAGACAAACTAATGTGTCTGGAACTCTTCAGTATTTACACAATGGCGGAAAAAGTGAGATTCACGCATCTTTCACTAGACCATCAAAATAGCCAAAGTTATAGAAAACTTTGCACAAAGATTGATATTTAACACTAACATGGAAACTTTCTCAGGTGAGCAGTCAGAAACTGATGATGTGATAGAAGTGATGTTGGAAGAACAAACTAAGCTCTTAACATTAATGCAAAAGTTGGAGAACAAAATTCAATTGAATTTATCGTCTAACAAACGTTCAGTTCAAATCAACAAATAATAAATAGGGCTTAACTTCAAAAACTAAATCTGAAATGAAATTCTTTGAAGAGAATGGCATTTGTGGCAAAATATTAGAGTCCATCTAGTCAAATTTGATTTTGATAAAATAAGGAATTGAACCATTTCTAAAAAATGCATACTATTTTTTTTTTTTAAAAAGAGTAAAGTTTCTCTTAAAAAACTAAAAAAAAGTAAGCTGAAAAAAAAAATTAACTAAACTCTTTAAAAACATATTTCTTAAAAATCAAAAGTAAACAATTTTAATGAATTCATTTTATAACAGTATAATAGTATGGTAAACACATAAACTAATGTGTGAAAATTTACATTAGCTAAGACATTTATGACTTCCTGTAGTTTAAATTGAGTTTTTATTAATTTGAATATTTACTTCTGATGGGTATTTCATTCATTTCTGATGAATAATAAAACAATGAATAACAAAATAAATTTGTTAAGTACTTTTTAATTTATGTATATACAGTATATATAGTATAAATAGTTTATAAAAAAAAGAAAAAGAACAATTTTTAAGTTTTAACAATTTTCGTGTCTTTAAAGAAATGTTATTCAAAGATTACAACATTGTAGGTAACACAAGGAGCAACCTCCTCAAATGTTGTGGTTATCATTTTATAAAAAACACTTAAAGAAAATTAAAAATAAATTTTATTTTCAAATTTGTATTTTTATTTTTAGTTAAAAATGTTGAAAAAATATTTTTTTTTTTTTAAAGTTGATTATTTTTAAATTTTGTTTAAAACCTCGCTTATATTGAGACCCAACATAATATACTTTTGAAAAACTTTTTTTTTGATAATATTTAGGACACGCCTGATGTTTAAGGATCTTGTGCAACCTTTAAAAATGGTTCAAATCAACTAAAATTCTTGAAAAATATTTGTTTTGGACCTAGTATGTACTTATGTATATATGTTTAGATGCGGTAGTGGTATATTGGTAGAGTGCTTGTCTCATAAGGGAGAAGTTCCGAGTTCGATCCTCGCCATGTCCGTAGCAGTACGGCTCTCAACTTGTTTTTCCGTGCAGCAGCCTTGTTCATCAAGGCTCATGTTTCGGAGTTATAGAGTTAAGAGAGGTTTGTAACCAAAAAAAGTAGCCTCCTAAACTTTATTGGCCTTCTTAGCCATGGGTAGGTGAATAATTAAAAATATATATATATACATCAATATGTACCTATGTACATACATCCATAAATATGAAATAACCATTAGTCTTTCTCTGCAATATGCATACACACATGCATGCATACAGACATGTGTGTATGTATATTAAAGTATTACATTTGCAAAAAAGAACTGGTACATAAGTTGGTACATAAAAATTCAAAGTAGCTGGTATATAAAAGTATACAAGTCTATCGCTCATGTTCCTAATTAAATTTGAGAACATAAACAAACTTACCAACTGAATTAGTTGAATAAGAAATTGCATCAAACAAATTTGATATAGAAGTGATGTAAGGTTGAGTGATAAAATCAAAAACATGAGGACCAACATTTTTGATATTTTCTTCTGATAGCAATGAAGCCATTTTTGTGACAATATCAATAGAATTAATCTAAATTTAAAGTATTATCCATTTGTCAAAAAATATTGTTTTTTAACTTTTAAAAACTTGTAGTATATTTTTCAATCACTTCTATTAAAATTTAATTCAGCTGAAAGTTTAAAGCTTTAAAAATTTTGTTATCAAGAAATTGTTTTGTATTCTAGTTGACTAATATTTCACATTATTTTTTTTTTTAATTAAATCAATTTTGTTATCAAGAAATTGTTTTGTATTCTAGTTGACTAATATTTCACATTATTTTTTTTTTAATTAAATCAATTTTGTTATCAAGAAATTGTTTTGTATTCTAGTTGACTAATATTTCACATTATTTTTTTTATAATTAAATCAATTTTGTTATCAAGAAATTGTTTTGTATTCTAGTTGACTAATATTTCCCATTATTTTTTTTATAATTAAATCAATTTTGTTATCAAGAAATTGTTTTGTATTCTAGTTGACTAATATTTCCCATTATTTTTTTTATAATTAAATCAATTTTGTTATCAAGAAATTGTTTTGTATTCTAGGTGACTAATATTTCACATTATTTATTTTTTTAATTAAATCAATTTTGTTATCAAGAAATTGTTTTGTATTCTAGTTGACTAATATTTTACATTATTTTTTTTTTTTAATTAAATCAATTTTGTTACCAAGAAATTGTTTTGTATTCTAGTTGACTAATATTTCACATTATTTTTTTTTTAATTAAATCAATTTTTGTTTTACTCAAGTTTCTCAAAATAATTTAAGCTGACTAAATTTAATTTACTAACATTAACAATTAACTGACCAAATAATAACTATTATTTGTTTTACAACTTTTTTAAACTTTAAGTATTTCATATTTTATAACTTAAACTGATGAAAATCATTAGTCACTTTGAAACAAAAAAATTTTAAAATTTTAGAGTACAGAGATTAAAAAAAAAATTTCTGTGTTTTTGTCATAGTCATTATACGTTTTTGTAAACTTTAATAAATTTTTTAAGTTCTTGTTATTGCGGCTAAGAAAAAGTATTATTTGTTTGTTTATTGCGTGTTTATGTTATGAAAAAATGTTGTTTGTTATGGTTACAGAACTCGATGTAAAATCATGAAATTAATCACTCTTGAATACAGAAGAAAAAGCAGCAATTTAATTCAACAAAATAAGCTTCTTAACAACTTAAACCTAATTGATTGGCACGTAATGCTTTGAAGCATAGCATCCAGAACTTAACATTAAATCAGATTTCATTTCGAGATTGTCAGGAACTGCGAAATCAGACATAAGTCTTTTAACAACCCTGTAGTCAATGACTAAAATGCTTTGCCAGATTTCAGTTACCATAGTTACTACAGCATTTAGTTGGGTTGAGTTGGGTATAGATGAATACTTGTTTATGTATGTGGTATATTGTGTATATACCACATACCTCACTACATAAGATATGTGGTATATACGCAATAAATATCAAAAGTATATAAATATCACACTCAAAGGGCTACAATCATGCCATAGGATAGAGTAAAGGTTTACTTTTTTTTATGGTTGTCGATGTATCAATTTCAACAGATAAGGCTTCATAACTTATTTTGTTTATGCTATTTTCTATATTCATCAAATGACTTTGATGAATATAGAAAATAGTATAATAGAATAATAGAAATTCATCAGTCTGCTGCAAGTAATTTCAAGTTTTTTGATTTTTACCAGAAGTTGGTACTTTAAGTACACAAAAGTAAAAAATATTTACAAATAAAAAAAAAAGAAACTCAAAGGTAAAGAAATTAGATAGTGTTTGTATTATTTGGATGAAAAAAATTGTTATAAAAAATTTCAGATCACAAATTTATTCACAAATTTATGGTCCATGCAAAATTCAGATGGTCATTAATGGTTCAAAATCTGGTCAATATTAATTTAATCAAAACTTTTGAATGGATTGGTCAACCAAGCTAAAAAAGACTAACTAAACTTTTTTATTAAAAAAAAAACTTTGAATACTAAAAACATTCTTTGTTTTAATTTTGACTTGTTTTTATTTTTATTGTGTTTATTTGATTTAATGCTACATTATAATTGCAGGACTGTACATAGATTGTAATGATTGTAGAAATTTGTTGCAAATTTATACATTCATTAATTTAGAATTGATAAGGATAACTGATCATATTCACAATTAGTAATGTATAAAACAATTAGTACATGTGTGATATCACTTAAGGTAGTGGTGTATTTAATGGTGGTAGAGTGCTCACTTCAGGTAAGGGAAAGCTAAAAAAAAATTTTCTAAGACTAGCAAGACTAACACAAGAAAAATTATTTTAAAAAATTTACCACAGTCTGTGGAATCAACTCTTCAGGAACATCTAACACCACTGATAAAATATCACCAACATCTTTTATTTCATTTAAACTGTTTAATGGTGCCAATATAAGTAAATCAACAACTTTACTGCGAGCCTGGTAAATTATTTATAACTTTTTATAAATATTTTTCATAATTTCAATTAAATATTAGTTATTAATGTATTTAATAAAATTTTTAACCAAAATTTATTATCATAAACATATTTACATTTTGCAGTTGAACCAGCATATTTTCTTTTTCAAGTAGTAACTCTCTATTAACACCAGTAAAACCTGTGATGTTGTCAAAACTATCTACCTTTAAACTCTTTACAGTGTATGAATTCTCATTTACATAATGACATACAGCTTGAAGAAAGCTTGACATTGTGTTAGTGTAATGTGTGTTGATTGTAGAAAATATGTTTGAAATACTTAATTTGTTTTCAAATGGTAACACCTACAAATAAAATAACACCTACAAATGAAAAAACCATGGTGTATTGTGGTGCTAAAATAATTTTTTAAATTATGCAACTTTTTCTTTTAAATAGGATAATTAAAGTTAAATCGAGTATTATATAATTTCAATAAAAATTTAATTAATAAAAATAAAAGTTGTATATTTTTTTTTTCAGCACTATAAACAAAAAGACTACTCATGTATTTAATTTTTTAATAAATTTGTTTTCAATTTACTATTTGAAACTCTCTTTCAACATTAAACATAAATCTTATCAAAAGCCACTGCGCGGAAAAATAGTTTGAGCACAGTACTTCCAGAGGGGGTTTAAATTTAAAACCTCATTTGCAAGATAATGAATACAAAGAATATTTGTTGCGATGCCAGCATACAAAGAATATTAGTATATAAATTATGCTTAAAATTTTTAAATTTTACTTAAGTTACCTGAACATATAGATCATGATAGCGCGTAAAAGCATTATAAAAACCAATCACTTTGATAAGTATCACAATTGTAAAATTTTTATATATTTTACCAGGAGGTAATACAAAGTCAATCAGAAATGGTTCTTCAGTAGATTTTGCATTTAATAATGGATAACCCATATTTTCATTTGAAGTGATTGAAAACTTTTCAGGGGTACCAATGTCATAATAAAAATTGTACTTAAATATACTTTGTTCTTTATCTTTCCAATCTTGACAAACAATTTTAAATTTTGTAAGAATCGTGTATCCTATCTGGGGACTGAAAAAAAAAAAACATAAAAAATAAACTTGTAGATAAAAAGTCCCAAAAAAAAGGTATAAATCCAAACGTTTTTAATTTTGTTTCTTGGAGCTCCAAAATAACTTAGAAATGTGAAAACTTTAGGAGTGATTAAATATATATTTTTTAAATCTATGATTAACTCTAGACTCCAGACTCCAGACTCCAGACTCATAAAGATTCCAAGACTCTTATTTATTTCCTCTCAAAAGTTTAAAATTTTCTAAACATTTTTGAAGCTTAAGGATTATGGAGTCAAAATAAAAATGAAAAAAAAAACCATAGAGTTCTTTTTAAGACAACCCTGCTCATAAGAGAAAAAAATAAAGAGTATGTAAATTATGTTTATTTATAAAAAATTTCATTATAAATAATATTTTATTTCCACATTAACTTCATAAATAAGTAAGATATTTGAAATGTATACTATATATATATATATATATATATATATATATATATATATATATATATATAAATTACAATAACTGATTCAATTCACAATGTTATTACACTCTCTATTGCCCTTTTTTTAACAAAAGTACAGCAAAACACAGAAAGCCAAATACCACTAAATCAAAATACAACCAAAGTTTATCCAGCAAAAACAAAACTCCTATGATCTTTAACTGTCACAAACACACTATCAATTTGGAACAAAATGCTTCAAATCATTTACTTCATGGAAAACACAAAAGCTAATCTAATGTAAGTAACAAAAACATAGGAACCTTCCATCATTTTGAAAATCTAATTACTAAACTGTGCATGCATTTCCGTTAAAGTTATATTGCATGACAAAATCAGAAAAAAAATCTACAGATCTGGTAAAGTAACAGGTACTGCAGAAGCACCAAAAAAAATTAAAATCAAACTATTATAAGTTGTAAACTTTTGCAAAAAAAAAATCATAGATAGAATTTTGAAAAGTAGTTGAAAGACTTTCAAAGTATCTAGATAGGGTTAAAGCAGCCAGACTTATTTTATGACCAACACAAATCACTAAGATATTTCTTTACATTTTACTCCAAGTAGTGTCTCAATTTGACTTCAAAAAATATTAAGTTTACAAAGGTTGCCAAGACCAGTTCAAAAAAACTTAAATGTGTTTCTTCCAGACTCTGTTTTTTGACCAGTGTCTGTGCCAGAAAATAAAATTTTTTAATAAAAACTTATAGCTAAAATACTCAAGCATCTAATCAAGCTTCTAACCAATGGCATTAACATTTTAGATTTGTAAAGCAAAGGAAAAAATTCTAATTCATAATTGCCTATTCTCACTCCGTCTATATATGACTCTACAGTAAAAAGATGCAATTGCATACGTTTTAGATAACTGGCATCTGGCCAAAAGTACAAAGCAAATCTAATTTCAACACTCTTTGACAAGGCTAAAGCTTTTAATTTTGTTTTCAAAAAAAAGATTACAGCAAGTTTCGCAAAAAGCCACAAAAAGTTGCAACCTTTTAAAGCTGGAGTCATTTAAGGCAGCAAAGTTATGCTCTCAGGCCCATACTTTTCATACACATTGTCTCAACTTAGCATCTAACATCATAACATCTTTTTGACAACTTCGACAGTAACCTCAAATATGTTAAATATTTTACACTAATATTAATTTGGGTTAAAGTCAGCACATGTTAACAACACCAAACCATAAAAGTTACACTTAAAGGACACTAGAACAAAGAAAAAAAATTTTTGGTCCAATATTACAAAATCAAAAAAACAACTTCTGAATTAGGTAACATTGAATATTGAGTATTGATGCTTGTATACAAATCACAAACACCAATACTTGTCTTCTATCTTCATTGCCTAACATTACCTAATAAAACAGCTTCCTGGAATAGGTAATGATGAAGTTTCCTTTTTTATTTTGAACAAAGCATTATAAGATGATCCAACATAACTAACAGCTAATGTGAATGTGTAATTTTTAGATGCCACTAAAGTTTCAACATTTATTACAAGAGTGCAACCTCTGAACCCTGTTGTTGTTGAATTTTCTTGAAGTAGCTCTTCAGGCCATTGATGATCATCAGTTAATATTTGCCAAGAATATGTCAATCTAAAAATATTTATAGATAAAATAATGTAAATAATTTTAAAAACTCAATAGTTTATCAAATAAAGTTTATTTATTCATTACATAATTTTTTCATATGTTTTATCTATATATTTAATTACTATATATATATATATATATATATATATATATATATATATATATATATATATATATATATATATATATATATATATATATGTATATATAAATATATACATATATATATATATATATATATATATATATATATATATATATATATATATATATATATATATATATATATATATATATATATATATATATATATATATATATATATATATATATAGGTCTCGGCGGGAATAAATGAGTACGAGAGCGGAAAAAAGCTCTCCTAAAACAAACTTAGGGAGCTGTGCAAACTTTTAAAAAGCATTTCAGCATATTATGCAATTATTTTTTTCTAAATGACATTGTGTTTTTTATTTTATTTAAAATGATAATTGAGTGGGTCAGAAGCCAGGGGGTACAAGTGGGTACAAGTGACAATTTTACCAAAATTAAGTTAAGTATAGAATTTGATAGAAGAAGCAAACAAAATTGTTGGAGGCCAAGGGATACAAGTGAATCTCTGCCCTGTGCTGCTTTCTACTGGAAAAACATAACAACAGCTGAGTATATTAAACAAAAATACTTTAACTTTAAACAGCTGTATCTCAAAACTATGAAAATGTCACTTGTACCCCTTGGCTTCTGACCCACTCAATTATACTTTTATGAGAAAAATTATACTTTTATGAGAGTCGTAAATAGCTCTCATAAACCGTTTCAGGGGAATGTGGGCGAGAGCGAGAGCTTAAGCCGCCGAGGCCTGTATATATATATATATATATATATATATATATATATATATATATATATATATATATATATATATATATATATATATATTTATATATATTTATATATATATATTTATATATATATATACTATATATATTCTATATATTTATATTCTATATATTTATATATATACACACACACACACATATATATATATATATATACATATATATATATATATATATATATATATATAGACATACATTATACTATTTAGCTTTTCTTCTATATTTACTATACATATATATTTGTCTGTATCTATCAACATATGATTATCTTCTTATATTTTTATTTTCATTATTTATATTTATTCAAATTTAATTTGACTTCATTAAGTTTGACCAAGGCACTTGGCCTTAATTGACTTAACCTTGAATAAAAATATATTAAAATAAAAGTGCATATATAACTCTACATTACTACCATGAGGACCACTGCACCACTACCATAAAGACCACTGCACAATAATGAAATCAAAAAGTTTATGCAAAAATTATATTGAAAATAACAATATTTATTGTTATAAAATTTTTTTGACAGTTTTTGCATTAAAATCAGATAAAATTAAACTTTTATTACTTTCTCAAACTTTTTTTTAAAAAATTATTTAGAACAACTACCAATTTTTTTTAGTTTATTACTTTGAAAATAAAAAACTTACAGATTTTCATCACAGTCCATGCACGTAAACATATAAATCAAATGATCTCTTATATTCAACTTTTTACCACAATTTGTAATGCAACTATAAATATATACAAAAATAAATCAATATATATATATATATATATATATATATATATATATATATATATATATATATATATATATATATATATATATATATATATATATATATATATATATATACTTTAGGAAATATAGATATGCATTTGCAAACATTTTTTTCCAATACAATTTTTTTTTTTTTTACCCATATGGTTTCTTTTTGGAAAACGAAGAAAAAAATAAAGAATAATTAAAAAAACTTTTTGCTTGTCCATCCCAAACCTGCAGTTGATGTAGCAGTAACCTCCTTGCATATTCTCACAATATCACTCATTGTATGATTCAAGCACTCACAGTTCTCTTAAAAAGTATGACATCAGACTTCAGAGTGACAATCTAAGTATGCTTTTATCTTTGTATATATATATATATAGTATAGCACACTTAGATAGCAATCAATATCATATTGAAATAGGGATCTGTGCTAAAGTACATACATCAACTGACTATCTAAGGAGACTATGCCACTACATTGATTAAGGGTTCGGGTTGAAGCAGCAACTATTTTTTTCATTATTATTCATTTAGTTCATTGTTTTATTATTCATCATTTATTTTATTATTTCATTAAATTTTCATTTTCTAAAGAATAAGCAAAAAAAAAGTGAAGTAAAATACTAAATTAATATATACATTATCTTTCCTTTAGGTAAATCACCAGGACTAAAAAAAATTTCTTGTATAAAAGAGTTAAACTGTAAATATTTTCCAACAAGAAGTGTACCAACAACTTGGAACTGATAAGTAACTCCCTCTAAGAATTTTTCTGTGTTCAATACAATTTCTGGACCAAACAATTCTAAATCCATCCATGATTGATTAAAACAAGAAATGGAAGTTGAGTTTACATTCTTATGAGCCATTAAACTATCTTGAGCAAACGATAAATTACTTGCAAGTTTGCATCTCCAATTGTATAGTACTGTTTCATATTCTACTTTAGGAGGGTTTGTATCAATGCTTACAAGGGCACTAAGTGTAAATATTCTATGATACCATTCATTGCTCACCAATTCCTTGTAAGCAACAGTATGAAACTCACCATTTTCAATTTCAATGTAAAAAGGCAAACCAACAATTATGAAGTAAGAAATATAAACAGTAGTAAGTTTATTATATGTAAAAAACAATGACAAAGTATAAGAACCATAATCTAAATCATCTCCAATAGAATATACTATTTTATTGTCAGTCAAAACTCCATGTGATTTAATTTTTATATTTTCACCATTTATGAGCCAATCAAAACTAATATTTGTTGAATTACATAGATTATCTACTTTTTTTATATATGCTGAAAAATCTTTAGTAGTATTGTAGAAAACTTGCAGTTGGTTTTTTACTGTTCCATAATGAAAAATAATTTGTGGAAAAGAACAATTTTGAATCTGAATAAATATTTTATCGCTTATTGCTTGCAAAGCATTCTTGGCCTCCACAACAATAACGTAAGTGCCAACACCTTCATATGTGTGTGAAAATGAGAATGGGATGGGATTTTTACTGCTTGATTGATCACTAATATTAAGTGCATTATCTCCCCAATTAACTGTATAGGTAAGGTAAGAACCTGTACTCTGACTTATTGCTAATGATATTTCTTGTTTCAGAGGCAACACAAAGTACGGAAATGAATCTGAAGCAGGGTTTGTTGCAATTGTAAAATGTGACATAGTGCAAAACACAGTCATATTTATAAAATTATTTTCCAAGTAATTAAATTGGTGAGAAGTATTACATGGTTTAACAGTGTAGTTAATTTTGTATTTTCCACATTCATTATAGCTAAAAAGAAAAACAAAAATCATGTAAAATATTTCATTCCAAATTACTTATATGAAATAACAAATGTTAATAAAGATAATAAAACCTAAGAAAAAAATGTAAAAGGTAACAAAACCTATGAATAAGTGTTAAAGATAATAAAACTTATGTATAAATATAAAAAAATAATAAAACCTAAGAATAAATTTAAAAAGTTATAAAACCTATAAATAAATACAAAAGGTAATAAAACCTATGAACAAATATAAAAGATAATAAAACCTATGAATAGTTGAATAATTTAAATAATATTGGTTTTCTGTCATTTCTTGATCTGATATCTTTCTCAATGTTCCATCACCAAAATCCAACTCAATATCTCTGGGTACAACTCCAAAACCATTATTATATATTTTTTGAAATATAAAAACCATTTCAAAAGTCATATCTTTAAAAATACTTTGTGTGACATTCATATAAAACCCCAGTAGTAAGAAATCACATTCACCTAAAATAATATTAATAAAAACACAAAATTTAAGTTTTTTTTACACTATTTTATTTAAACTACTTATTTCTCAGTATGACGATTGTAAAAAAATACTAATAGATTATTTGTTAAATTAACATTGAGCTTGTAAAATAAATACCTTGTTTTAAATAGTTATTAATGTTTTGTTATTAACAATAAAAATCCAATTGTATTAATTTTTTGTTATTTTGAAGTGTTTCAATACTATAACATAGTCGGATCCAAGATCCGGAACCTAATACTGAAACCCTTTACCATTTTTTTGAGATCCGGATTCTGATCTATTTAGTTACCGGTTACTTTCACATAAAATTGCTTTTTATTATGTTGATGTTGCATACCATTATAGCCTACACAAAGTTTTAAACTGTTGCACTTAAAATGAAGCATTACAATATTTAACAGCAATTTAAAAAAACAATTTTAAAATTACTTTCAAAAATTAAAAGCAATGCTCCAGCCTGGGAGCATTGCTTAAAGTGCAAAGTAAACAAAACTGCTCAATGCAAAACCTGTAAGATCATTAAATATTTTACTGGATCATTTTTCATGCCAAAGACATTAAGGTTCAATTAACGACTGAATTAAAAGATATGAAAGTTAACAATATCAGATTTAGCTTAAAGCGTTGTTATATGAACATTAATGTACATGCAAATGGAAACCTTTATAACCTTGGACTAATACGTGTGGTTGGGAGTATGCCATCTGAAGAAAGCTGTTGAAATAGTGTGTAAAAAGTTAAGCAAATTCAAACAATTTATTATTGGTAATAATGGTTAATAAATTCAAACAATTAAATAATTCAAACAATATAGTAATAATTTAAGCAATTTAATAATTTAATATTGTTAGTACAGATGGTGTATCTGTTATGATAAAATTTTGCCGTTTAATCAACCCACTATAACATCTGCTATGCCCATGCAATCCATTTAGCAGTAGGGGATGTACTTTATGTAAAATAACTGAGGTTTTAGACCAAAACAATAATTTTCAAATTAACAATAGTGAGGATGACGGCGAGGATGACAGTGAAGATCTTAATCAAGGTGAAGGGCGGTGAAGGGGTGAAGGGGTGGGTGGTGAAGGGCTGGGCTATATTGAATATGAAAACAGTTTAGTAGAAGCTGTTGTTATAAAATATCATTTTTCAAGTTTAAAAAAAAGTTTGCATAATAATAAAATTGTTTGGAAAACTTGTTTAAAAAATGACAATATGTTGCAGAAGCATGTAAAATCAGAATTTGGACATAAACTTAAACCTATATTAGACTCCAAGACAATTCATTACTTGATATGGTTGAATGCTTTGTCAAGCAAATGTATTAAAATAGCTCTTATCCAAGTGCATTTTTTAATAATAATATCAGATTCAGAGCTTCTTATTCTTAAATAGTTAAGACTTTTAAGAATTTAAAATTAGGAATTAAAGCACTTCAAGGCTCTAACTTGCTTAAATCATTTTTGTTTTGTTTTAAGTCAACTACAGTCATACAAAACTGATATAAGAAAAAACTTTTCCTTTTTTTTTTTTTTCTTTCAATATCTTCCCTTCCAACATGGCTGCAAGCAACCACTATTAGAGTTGCAAGTTACTGGAAGAGAAAAGATAAAGATTGTAGATCAAGAAAACAATTGACAGACAACTTAAAAGATTGCAAATTATATGAATCAGAAAAAGCAAGATGAAGGAAGCGAATTCCAAAGAACTGACATTCAAGAAAAAAAACTAGATGAATAAGAAACTTATAAAATAAAGAAAATATATGAAACTTATAATATAAAACTTACAACAAGCTTTAAAAACAAAAATTTTAAGCAACCTAATTTGATTCACCTCGTGGAATGTTTAAATAAGCTTATTTTCTACTATCTGGTACTTTAGATGCTTTTAGAGTAAATCCGAAAAAATAAGCAGTTATATCGTCAGCTAAAGATTTTTTACTAAGGTTTTTACCCCAAGCAATCAAAGAAGATACAGAACATGTACAGAAAGATGTACAGAAGATACTTTGATTTTGAAATGCAAGTAGAAGAAAATTTTGATATGAAAACACAGCAGAAAAAGCTGAGCTAAAATAAGGATCATATATTGAAGTTTACAGTATCTCTCAATAAAAAATTTTCTGTCTTTGAGTCATCAAAAAAATGTCTTTCAAATTTGGAGTCTTTATTTCAGTATTTAAAAACTATCCAACCAACATCTATTGAGAATGAATGAGCTTTTAGTGCATGCAGATTGGTTGTAATTAAACTTAGGAGTAGCTTAAATGATGACATTTTTTTATACCTCATGCTTTTAAAAAAGTTACTACAAAAATAATTAAAGTGATAAAAATTGAAACTAAAATAGACTTGTTGAAATGAAATGCTACAAAAAATTTATTTCACAAAATTAACTGTGGTTATATGTTTTTAAAAATAATATAAATTTCTTGTGTAAATATAAACTTTTTTAAGTTAAAAATATTTAAAATTCAAGCAGGATCCAGTTCCTTAAAAAAAAAAAAAAACCTAAAAGTGCACTGCAAAACCCAAGAATAAAAAACTAATCTAATTAATAATTTTTTTAAATTTAATTTTTAATCTTTCAGGTTTATTTAATTCTTCTGATAATTCATAAACAACTAATTTATTTTTGATTATTTTTTAGGAAAAATACTGTGACATATTAAATATCAATTGTTCGTGGGTTGGCTACATAGAAATGTTTACTAGAAATACTATGACTAGAATTACACAATGATGAGGATATTAAATCAACAGTTTGAAGATGGATCAATGAGGAGGATGGTGAATCAACAGTTTGAAGGTGGATTAATGAGGGTTTGATGGTGAATCAACCGTTTGAAAGTGGATCAATGAGGAGAATGGTGAATCAACAGTTTGATGGTGGATCAATGATGAGGAGGGTGAATCAACAGTTTGACCAGCAGTTGGAACCAAAATCACAAAACTTTTATCACTGTTATGAGATGTTACAAAGATTTTTTATTGAAAAGTAGAGTTTCTAAAATGCCAGAAAATTCGAATACCCATATTTGTTATTTAAATAAATTCAATACCTGATTATACCGGTATTGCACAATATTCATAAAAAATATTTTAATAGTTAATTTATTTTAAAAGCCAAATCTTAAAAAATATTTTTAATTTAAATATTAGAAAATTATTAAACATATTTTAAAAATTATTAAAAGAATTTACAATTTTTTCTTTTTCCATTTTGTTTTGTCATGACAACATCTATTATATTTAAAAGGGTTGATAACATCTATTATATTCAAAAGGGTTGACAACATTGTATTTAAGCTCAATGTTCCAACTCCACTTGCTTCAAATAACTTAAATTCTTTTACCATCTCTGAAATTGGATCAGAACAACTAATCTTGGGTTAGAAAAAAAAAACCTTTGTTAGAGATGATTGTATTTGTGTCTTCAGGTTATTATTGGTAAATTGCTTCGTCAGCAATTTCTTATTTTGATGATTTGATATTGACACTATCCAATACTTTGGTAAAGTTTTGTTAAATAATACTTTTTGCATATTAAATAATTGCTGACTTGTTAGAACTGAAGAGTTCTAACAAGTTTTAATGTCAAACTTTAGCATTAATTATTTATTTTCTTGTTCGAAAACATGTATTTGCAATATAGAGTTACAAAGGGTTTGTAAACCCTTTATAAAGTGTAACCCTTTGTAAACCCTTGAAAAATTTAATCAGTTAACATGAATTATTCAATACAGACTTAATTTCATCTCAACATGCTCTATTGCTATTTCCATGTTCAGTTTTCTCTATGATATCATTAAAATGTACTACAATTAAATCACTTGAAATAATCATAGTCATTACAATTGGGATCAGAATTATTATCCTCTACCAATGAAGTATTTCAAAGAAATTTTTCAAAGCCATTTGCTTTATCATTTCATTGGCATCATCAGGTGTACAACTTTTTATAGAAGACATCAGTTACGGTTGGATGAATAATCTAATTATAATTGCGGCACAGTTGAGTCTCTACAGAACAAAAAACTTGTTCAAAAAAATTATTAGAATTGATATTGCCTATGCAATGATTCCTTAAAAAGGAAACATTGCATATGCTATAAAAATAAAAACTTTAACATGAAACTTTGTATAGGTGATGAAAATGAAACATGTAGTTGCCTATATGCTTCATTTTTATCACCTATACAAATTTTCATGTTAAAGTTTTTAAATTGAATGTTTTAAAAAAAAAAAAATTATATTCTAATTGTCTTAAATAAAGTAAGCCTCTGTTTATTTATTCTTAATGTGTGAGATTTGCAGATTATTGTGTTTATTAAGTTTAAATTAATAAAATTTTAAAAACCATAAAAAACATGTCTGATGAATTAGTTTGGTATTGGAAAAATTTAGATTAATAGCAGTTTTCAATACTGGTATTGAAAACCATGGAAACTATGTAAACTCTATTGAGAAGTCTCTGATCAATCTGTTAGATTTAATAAAAATTCTCCATCTATTATTATTGAAAACATTGAAAACCATGGAAACTCTATTGAGAAATCTCTGATCAATCTGCCACATTTAGTAAAAAATTTCAAAATTGTAATATTTGTATTTGATTGAAGTGTATTTGTAACTCCATTTATAGTTCTTGGGAAGAACTTTTTTTTGTTGTTGTTGTTGTTGTCATAGCATACTCATTTTCCTTTTTAACAGAAGAAAAAAATATAAAAGTTTGTTTTTAAGTTTGTTTTAAATTCATTCTGGTGTTACTCGTCATTCAATTAAGCCTTGTCCTTTTTCTGTGACTGTTCCAAAGTGCTCCAAAAACTCTTATTCCTCTAGCTTTTTTCCTCGAACATCAATTCTTTGGAATTCGCTTCCTTTATCTTGCTTTCCTGATTCATATAATTTGCAATCTTTTAAGTTGCTTGTCAATCATTATCTTACTCTCCAATCTTCATCTTTTCTCTTCCAGTAACTTCCAACTCCTTATATAAAAAAGCACTAACTTTTTTAGCCTCAGTGGGGAAATGCTAAATGTTGGATCCATTAATAGTGTTACGAAGGTAGGTTACTCAAGCGGAACGCTTTAGTAATTCAAGTTTATTGAAGCATATAGACGTCTAGCATAGACGCTAGCGTACCAAAACAATTTGTTTATGAACCGAAACGCGTCTAGCGTTTAAACAAAACGTATAAAAACGTCAGTTAACAAACGTTCGTGGTTCGGTTGAAGGAGTCGAAGAAACGATTGAAGTTGTTGAGGAGCCAAAGATAATATAAAGATACCAGAAGATATAGTAAAACAAGTTGTATTATATTTATACAGTTTTATATAATATATCGGGACAATTGAAACTAGTATTTATATTTGTTATAAGTTGTTACAAAGTGTTGTTTGGATTATCAGTAACTCGTAACATTTATTTATGCGTATTATCTAAAGCGTAGTAACTAAAGGACGATACGTTAACATTTGAACATACGTTAACAATAGCTATGTCTGTTATATTGGTATCATTAAAATATAAATTGAAAATGTGCTGATAAGACTGCACAGGTTATCATAGTGCTAAAGAAGTGATGCCATTTTGAGGTGAAGATATAGATCTAAACTAGGTTTAATAGTTTTATTTAAGTCAATAACATCATAGTATTAACAATTTGTAGAATAACCAGGGATTGATTAAGTTCTTTTAATATGTTTCTCAAGTGAACCGGAGATTCATGAAAACTTGAGGATGTAGTTTGTGGACTCTTGCATGTTAACAAGAGTTCATTAGAAGGAAACAAACCAAATAGAATTTTTATAATGGTATTCTCTTAACTTTATTTTAAAAATAAAGTTAAGAGAATACCATTTTGAGAAGTTTTGAGAAAGATGATTATAAGTGTGCAAATCTATTTGGTTGCATTTAGCATTAGATGTGCCAGAACCAGTTTATGCCAAGTCATTAATTCTAGGTAGCCGAAAGAAAATACCGGGTCCAAGTCCAAGAACCTGGCACTGGCTCCATATTAAAAAGTTTGAATAAAAACTTGTGAAATCTCTAGAGCTCTAAATGTGTTTTTTGACATAATTTTTGTTTACATAATCAATGTTTTACGCAAACAAAAAAAATCAATGATGTCATTTACTGAAATTCTTAGCAATAAAACGCTCTTGAATAAATTATCAAGTCTGTAGATTGCGGCGTATATTATACTGACATTTAGGCCTACAATAAAAGAAGGTGAGCTGCAACTAAAATTAAAAAATTATTTTTTCTTGGTGTTCATTTATTCTTTTGTTTTAATCAAAAAAATTTAACTTGAACATTTTTCTATATTATTCTTTTTAATATGAACACAGGCACATCTCTGTTTAGCATGAGTTCATGAATTGAAGCACTCACATAAGATGGCTCTGTGGTTATCTGTTAACGTTTTTTAAACAAAAATTGCATTTTTTTTTTAACTTCTATAACTTGATAAAGAGAATTTTATCATGGGTTAAGGTTAGGATTATTAGTGTTTTATTATAAACAAAGCACAGAGGCTTACAAAATAATATAAGAGTGAATAAGGATATATTGAATAACATGAGAGCATATTAAGTAAGTGAATATAAAGGAAAGTGGATTTACATTAGAAAACAAAATCTATTATAACACAACTTGACAATTGTATTTTGATAAATTGTATATCAAAGAGATGATATAAAGCAAAGTGGATTTATTTAAGAAACAAATCTATTATAACAAAAAAAATCAATTATAACACAATTTGACTAATTGAATATTAAATATTAATTATATATTTTGACTAATTGAATATTAAAGAGAGTGGATAAAAAGCATTGTGGATTTACATAAGAAACCAAAATCTATTATAACGCAATTTGACAAATGTATTTTGACAAATTGTGTATTAAAGAGAGTAGATATAAAGCAAAGTAAACTTACATAAGAAACAAAAAAGTATAATAACACAGTCTATTGTATTTTGACAAAGTGTATGAATAAAATCTCGCATTACAGAGAAGTTATATGAAAATTAAAGAGTATTGACAACTAACAAAAATACAAACAACAAAAAACAATATGGACACAACATTTTGGCAAAAAATATTAAAAAAACATGAAGAAAAGAATAAAATTAAAAGTAAAAATAATAAATAAAGTTTAAATAATAAAAAATGGTACTTATGTAAATATATAATAAAATATATAACTTGAAAGATTAAGTTAATAAAGATTTATATGATCATAAATATAATCATAGTTATATATATAGATATGAAGATATTTGTATATTATTATATGAATTAATTATAAGTTATAATACGTATATCATCTATATAAATCGTTAAGTAAATACTAATATAATTCTATAGTATTTATTTAACTATTTATATAGATGATAATAAAGATGTTTACCTTTAATCTATAAAAATATGTTATTAGATCTATATACTTTTTTTTTTTTTTTTTTTTTTTTAATTATCTTCGCTTCCAACAAGGCTGCAAGCAACCACTAATTAGTGTTGGAAGTTACTGGAAGAGAAAAGATGAAGGTTTTAGAGCAAGATAACGATTGACAGGCGACTTAAATATTGCAAATTTTATGAATCAGGAAAGCAAGATAAAGGAAACGAATTCCAAAGAACTGATGTTCAAGGAAAAAAACTAGACGAATAAGAGTTTTTGCAGCACTTAGGAACATTAACAGAAAATGGATGAGACTTAATTGAATGACGAGTAACACGAGAATAAATTTTAGTAGATAACACAAGAGACGCTAGCTCTTAAGAGCAGTGCCCATTATAGTATTTGTAAAAAGAGAAAGAAAAGCAACATTACGAGGATGTGACAGAGGTTGAAGGTTGGCTGCAAGAGCAGGTCCAACTATGTTTACAATGCGTTTTTGCATCTTGTCTAAAAGAGAAAGGACATCATTAGAAGATCCGCCCCAGATATGGCAACAGTATTCCATACAAGGCCGGATTTGAGATTTATAGAGATAAAGAATAGAATCCAGAGTAAGAAAGTGACGAGCTCGATAAAGAGAACCAACTTTAGCAGATGCTAATTTTGCAACGGATTTGATATAAGGTTTCCTAGAAATATCAGAAGTAAGAGTTAATCCTAGAAGATGAAGGGTAGGAGACTCATCGAGTACATTACCATTCATAAGTATAGGAGGGTTTAAATTATTGCGATAACGATTGGTCAAAAAAAATTGAGTTTTATCTGAATTAAAGTTCACCAGCCACTGTGAGCCCAATGCTGTAGCAGAAGTGAGATCCTTTTCAAGCTCAGATGCCCCTTGCAAGCAATCGGAGGGAGTTGGCTTCTTATCGTGACAAGAATAAATGGTAGTATCATCAGCAAACAATGCCACCTTAGATGTGAGAAAATCTGAGAGATCGTTAATGTAAATTAAAAAGAGTATAGGGCCAAGGATTGAACCTTGGGGAACCCCTGAGGTTACAGAATAAGAAGAAGAGTGCTGTCAATCAAGGACAACTTTTATACTACGATTGGAAAGAAAGGATTCAATAATCTTAAAAATGTTTCCAGATACACTGTAAGAAGAAAGCTTATGGAGAAGACCAGCATGCCAAACTTTATCAAACGCTTTAGAAATGTCGAGAGTAATGGCCTTAACCTCTCCATCTTTATCTAATGCGCGTTATTACTGATAGCAAATGAGCCGTAGAACGAGAAGATTGAAATCCATATTAATGATCAGAAAGTAGGTTATGAGATTTGAGATGAGAGTTTAAGTGTTTGTTAATTAAAGATTCAAAAACCTTGCTTATGATAGGAAGAAGACTAATGGGACGGGAGTTAGACGAATTGGATCGCACTCCAGAATTTTTAAAATTAGGGATAACAGAAGCTGCTTTCCAGCAGGCTGGAAAACAAGAGACTTTCAAAACTATTTAATAAGTGCTTATCAGAGTTGTTTTCCAGCAGGCTGGAAAACAACTCTGATAAGCACTTATTAAATAGTTAGATGATATTGATGAAAAGTTGTTGGCAAACAATTCAGCTTTGTCTTTAGGTGAGATGAAAAAGTCTGAACCATACAAAAGAGGTGGAATTACAGACTTGTCCTTATTATTGATACTATTAAAGATTCTCCAGAAGTCACGAGAGCCTAATTTTTGTGATGAAATGATCTGAGATTTTATGATCTGAGAATAGCGGGCTTTCGCTTAAATGTAAATATTAAAATATGATTGAGTAGATGTGCATACTTAAATATAAATATTAAAATATGGTTGAGTGGATAAATAAAAGAGTCTTTGTAATAACTATCAAAAAAAAAACCTTGCTTTCCTAAAGATTTTATAATAAACTTTTTTGATTTTCAGTTAAAATTGTAACTAATAAAAACTTGACTGTAAACGCTTCATGATATAAATTTAAAAATTGTGCAATTAAATTGCTTATTAAAAATATTAATAATACAGTTAGTAACATACCTACACAGCTTACATTGCTAAAACAAGTTGTTATATTATAACTTTCACCAACACATAATTTGCTATCGTTAAAACAAATTCTTGATTTATTCATAACCCCAATACCACAAGACACATTGCAATCAGACCATTCACTCCAATCTGACCAAACACCTTGAAAAATTTACTATACATAATTTTAATAAATTTCATAATAGTAAAGACTACTACTTTCACATTTATAAGTAACAATGATAAAACAATATTTTAACTTATTTAACATTTGATTCAAATTTATATGTTAAAAAAAAAATTATATCATTTGTATTCAACTTATTTTAATAACCATTAAAATTTTATCAAAGAAAAACTTTTTGATTTTCAGTTAAAATTGTGTGTAATAAAAACTTGCCTGTAAACACAAATAACAATGATGTAAATTCAATTTAATTGTAATAAATTTTAAAAGTGTTTGATTAAATTGCTTGATAAAAATATTTATAGAACAGTTATTAACATGCCTGGACAGCTTAGATTGCTGAAACAAGTTGTTATATTGTAACTTTCACCAATACATAATTTGCTATCGATGAAACAAGTTCTTGATTTATTCATAACTCCAACACCACAAGATTCATTGCAATCAGACCAATCACTCCATTCTGACCAAATACCTTGAAAAATGTAGTACATATAACCTTAATGAATTTCATAATGGTAAAAACATAACATTAATTCCTTTTTGTTAATTATTTTCAGATTTAAAAATAACAATGATAAAACTATGTTTATAGTTATTTATCATTCTTAGACTTTTTTGTGCACTTTGGTCATTGTTTTACCAAAAAAATGTGTTTTTTTAGATGGTACAAGCAAAGCGCTTGCATAGTAAAGAATTTGCTTTAATTTTCTTTCAATTATTTTCTATATTCAAATACTAAATATGGAAACCATTTTAAACTTATTTAATATATTTAATTTTTAAAATGTTAAATAAAATTAGGTATATCATTTGTATTTAACTTTTTTGATTTTCATTTGAAATTGTATCTACTAAAAAACTGTAAACTGTAAACACTTCAAGATATAGATTAAAAAGTACAAGAATACAATAAATATTTTTAGAAAACTTAGTAACTCACCTACACAGCTTACGTTGCTAAAACAAGTTGTTATATTATAACTTTCACCAACACATAATTTGCTATTGTTGAAACAAATTCTTGATTTATTCATAACTCCAATATCACAAGACACATTGCAATTAGACCACTCACTCCAATCTGACCAAACACCTTAAAAAGATTTTAATAATTTTAATAACTGCAATAATAAAAGTCTTTACTTTTTGTATCAAACATTTTTAAATGTAAAAGCCACAATGATAAAACTATATTTAAAAGTATTTAAAAATTAACTTAAATTATAATGTTTAAAAAATTAAGAATACCATTTGTATTTAACTTTTTTTTCGATTTTCAATTAAATATTTCCCAAAGAAAAACTTAACTGTAAATGTTTTACGTTGTATTTAATAAAAACTCAAGTGTAAACATTTTATGTTGTAGATTAAAAAAAAAATGAGAATACAATATTTCAAAAATATTTATAGAACAGTTAGTAAAGTACCTGCCCAGCATACTTTGCTATAACAAGTTGTTAAAAAAAATAAAAAAACAATGGAAACAGTTCTGGTAATTGTAAAGAAAAATGTTTTAAAAATTTTAGAGGTAAAAAAAAAAAATGTTTAAAAATTAAGATATATAGACTGTTTGCTCAAAGCAGTTTTCAGTCGATGTATGTAAAAGAAAGTAAATTAAAACTTTATATAATCAATGCTAAACAATGAGTTTTGATTAAATGTTGACTATCAACCTAATCTTTATTGTTTAAGATTTTAAACCATTGTTTACAAGTTTATATGCCTTTTTTTTATCTTTATACATTTGAAAAATATATTTATTAATCAGAGCACTTGAAAATTTTTTTAGTAATAAATAATTAGATTGTATAAAAACAATATCAGATAATTATGCTTTATAATTTGATAAACTTAGATCTGCATTTTTAATATCTTTAGTACCTTAAACCCCATGTTACCCATCTTCCTACTTTTGTTGAAAGCATGTGCTGAGAAATATTCAGTTTTTATAAAATAATGTAGGTCAGGCATCCACACTCTTAAATATTATATTTTCATTCAGTATAATTATAAAAAAAAATTTCTTGAATTTCTCTAACAGTCAAAGCTAGAGAACCAGGGTCTTACTTATTACTTAAATAAAAATATAAAAAATTAAAATATTGTTCAATAATTTTAATAAAACCATTTATTTTGTTTTTCTTTATGATTTTACTTGTTACATTTTTTTTAATTAAAAACAGAGGTGTAGAGATGATGCTTCCAAATTGTACAAGACAACCAGTTTTTGGTAAAGATAAACAAATATACATTTTTTACTAGATGCCAAAAGTAAAATAAATTTAACAAATATATAAATAATATATTAACATTCATTAAACATGTTTTCATATATAGATATTATTGTAATTATTTTAAGTTAGACAAGTTCTAAAAAAAAAAATAATAATAACTACAAGCAACAACAAAATAAATAAAAAAGAATAACAAAAAAGAAACAATATATTTAAAAAATGAATGAACAACCATAAAGTAATAAGTAATAAACAACAAATAATAATAATAATAATAATTAAAATAAGAAAACACATTTTAATCATCTTCACACAGCATAATCAAATTGTTATCACACTTCAACACAACATTATTAAGTTTTTAAATCTTGTATTTATTTTATTATTAAAAATTATTTATTCACATTTCATATATAAAAATTTATATTTATTATTCAAAAAATATAAAATTTATTCTTTAATTAAATATTGAAAATTTTATACAATGGAAATTATTAAATTAAACATACTTTGGTTTGTAGTGCTTTGTTACAAATATTATATAATATTTTTGAATAATTATTTTTTATTTTATCAACTTACCCTGACATTAATTACATAATATGTTAGTGATTCATGTTTTAATTGAAATATTTTTAAAGGTTTATTTATGCTGAGAAAAAAAACTTTCAGATTAATATAAATAGAAAATAAATAACTTTACTTGTATGGTCCCATTTCTCAATACTTCTATAAACAATATAAGCATCCATGAAAGAGAAAAAAAAACTAAGTACAACTACATTTGAAAACAAATGGTTATAACTCAAAACCACCTTTATGTATTAATATGAATAGTTAGAAATGTACCTGCACAGCTTACATTGCTAAAACAAGTTGTTATATTATAACTTTCACCAACACATAACTTGCTATCAATAAAACAAATTCTTGATTTATTCATAACTCCAATACCACAAGACACATTGCAAACAGACCATTCACTCCAACTTGACCAAACACCTTGAAATATTTAATATACATAAAGTATTTAAAAAATATATTACTAGATGTCATAATAAACAGGCATTTGTTAAATTTTTTTTTTGTCAAGTATTTTCATATAAAAAAAAGAACAATGATAAAATCTATTAAAAACTATTTAGAATTAAAGTTAAATTAAAGTGTTTATAAAAAAATAGGTATCATTTGCATTCAACTTCTTTGATTTACAGTCAAAACTTTATCAAAGAAAAACCTGATTGCAAACACTTTATCTTTTAGATTTAAAAAGTAAAAGAAAAAGATGAATTAAAAATATTTATAGAACAGTTATCTACATACCTAAACAGCTTACATTGCTAAAACAAGTTGTTATATTATAACTTTCACCAATACATAAATTGCCGTTATTGAAACAAATTCTTGATTTATTCATAACTCCAACACCACAAGATTCATTGCAATCAGACCATTCACTCCAATCAGACCAAATACCTTGGAAAATTTTGTTTACATAATCTTAATAATTGTGATAATAGTATAGACAATGTTTAAATTTTTTTTGTCAAGTATTTTCATATAAAATATTAACAGTGATGAGATTTATTTCACTTAAGCATATACTTTACTAATCAACTTTGTTGATTTTTAGTTAAAATTTCATCTAATAAAAAATGCAAATGTAAATACCATATATTATAGATTAAGAAGATGTAACAGGCCTTGTGACAAATGAAAAATGCTAAATCTATTTGCCTAATGGAATTTTCAATGCCATAAAATTATATGTATTTGCTTTTCATGTTTATCAATATTTATTTTTTGGAACAACTTACACTTAGTCCGCTCAAAATCATTAACAATAAACAATGTAGAAGTATTATTATGTAAAAATAATTAACAACAAACAATGTAGAAGTATTATTATGTAAAAATAATTAACAACAAACAATATACAAGTATTATTATGTTAAAATAATTAACAACAAACTATGTAGAAGTATCATTATGTAAAAATAATTAACAAACAATGTAGAAGTATCATAATGTAAAAATGTAATTGAATGTTTATTTTGCTTCTGGTTCTTATAAATATAAAATATTTTTTTTTATTTGTATTTGACACAATCATGTTTTGTCTAAGTGAATAAAAATTAGCTACAATTTGATTTTGGTTTATTTCTTGAATACGTATTCACATTTTTGCAAATAAAAGTTTTTATTTTTATTTTCAAAAGGTCAACAAATAGTAAATTGAATACTTTAAATATTGAAAGAATAAAAAGTGTGCAATAGTTATGTTTTTTACCAGCAATTTTATGTAAAACTTATTGATGTTTATTTTTTAACAAAACATTTGATATAATTTCTCTTAAACTATTAATTTCTACTTTTTTTAATGCATGCACTTTGCACTTATTTTTTATGTTTGCAAGCAATTTCATTTCCAGTAAAATAAAAAAAAGTGGAACAAATAAGTTTTTTTTGTTCTACGCTTTAGATCACAATTAAAAAGCAGGCTGTTAATTATATTATGAATATTTGTTATAAATATAATAAATATTGCATCTTACAAAACTTATTTAAAAATGTTACTTAAAAATGTTATTATACATAAAATCTAACAAAATATTGTTAAAAGTTGTCATGACTTTTAACAATATTTTGTTAGATTTCATGTATAATAACATTTTTAAGTAACATTTTTAAATAAGTTTTGTAAGATGTATCTTTCTTTTTAACACACTAGATAATAAACCAACTCTTTATAGTTTTAAAACTTATGTTCTAAAATCTTTTAAATTCTACAATTTAACAGTTGTTTTAGCATCCTTTTGTCAATTACTTGTTATCAAATATTATTACAGTTTTTTAGTATTAAATTTAAAAAAATATTTAAAAAATTAGACATCAACATTTTCCATCCAACTTTTTTGATTTTTAATTAATATTTTATCTAACAAAAATTTGACTCTAAACATTATGTTATAGATTAAGAAAATGTAAGAAAAAAATGTTTATTAAAAACATTTATTAAACAGTTATTAACATACCTGCACAGCTTATGTTGCTAAAACAAGTTGTTATATTATAACTTTCACCAACACAAGTTTTGCTATCATTGTAACAAATTCTTGATTTATTCATAACTCCAATACCACAAGAAACATTGCAATCAGACCATTGACTCCAATCTGACCAAATACCTTGGAAATTTAATATACTTAATAAATGTGATAATAATAAATATCATACTAACATTAATTTTTAATATTTTTTAATTCATTTCATTAAAGTTTAAAATTTTTGTATTTTTTTTTTTTTTTTGTATTTTCATATAAAAAAGTAACAATGATGAAACCTAATTAAAATTAGTTAAAATTAAACTTAAACTAAAACGTTTATAAAAAATTAGGCATATCATCTGTATTCAACTTTTTCAATTTACAGCTATTTATTTATTTAAAACTTTATTTATAGTTAATTGCATACAGTAGTTTATAAATAAACTAATTAAAATCAACACAATAAACTGCAGGGACAGTACAAACAAACACAAATATCTGCCATAAAAGATTGGTAACAACTAGCATAACGTATTTAAATAAAATATTGTGCATAAAAATCTTTAAAAGAAAAAAAACAAACTTCATATATCATAAAAAGAAAAAAAACTTAAATTAAATCTCCGTAAAAAGAACAAATATATTTGTAAATTTGTAAAAAAGACATGATTAGTAATAATAATAAATAAATTTAAGTTTTACAAATTTAACAAAAACTTTTTTTCCCATTTCGATGTAAAATATTATTCCTGAACACCTGGATACTTTTTGAGCACATGGTTTTATTGTCAAGGAAATTTCAGAGCAAGGTGGCACTTAATAAAACATTATTTGTATTTCTATGATTAAAGCCTTAGGATAGAAGCATCAATTTATTGCAACTAAGTTGAAATATTAAATTTCAACTTTATAAATAAGTTTAAACAGTTAAGAGATATAAAAACTTCAATTGTTAGAAATCACAAGTCTTGAAGAGGGATTCTTGAGTTAATATTTAATTTTAACATTTCATCCAAAAACAAATCAAATCTTTTATGGACTACATGGAGTTCTTTTTTATGAATTTTAGTTTTAAGGTTGTCTTTGTATTTTAAGCAAAACATCTGAATCAAAGAACATATAAGAAATTTGACAAAATAAACATGTTAAATAATATTGTAGCTTGTTTACAGAGTTGTTAGTTCTTGGCCTTGGTTTTGGCCTTAAGGCCAAAAATTAAGGCCCTAGTCTAGGTCATGGCCTTGAAACTTTTGACCTTGGTCTTGAACATTTAAACCTGGGCCTTGAATGTTTTGGCCTTAGCTTTCCACCTTTTCCTAATACTTTCCGAACATTGTTTTGTGCTTGAATTTTAAAAATTTTACTACAGTTAATTTTGTTTACAAGACTTATTTTAGTTATTTTACTTGAAAGCTTTAGAACTTAATTTTATGTTTTACGTCCCAGCTAAAATTGTATTTCTGACTTTTAAAACAACAATCAATGACATGATTGTTTAATGGGAATTTAGTATATTAAGCACATATATTTAGTACATATATTAAGCCACATTATTTGTTTTAATGCTTTTTATTAATTAAAATATTTCAAAACTTAAAAAAAAATTAGGCACATGAATTTTTCTTAAAATTAAAAACAGAATTTTGAAGTTAATTTTGAATTAAAAGTTTTTATTAAAATATTTTTATTTAAATTATAATTTATTATTAGAGTTGGTAGGAATTACAAAACAAAAAAGTTTTTAGCATAGCTTTATATAAAGTTGCTCATTCATACATGAAATGCACTATGCCTAACGTTTTATCACAAGGCCTGATGTAAGAATACATTTCTTTATAAAAAGGATGAAAACAGGGATGTGGAGTCCCAAAAGGATTCTGGCTTTATATCTTTATTTTTCATGGTCTCTGGTGTCTAGAAGCTCTAAATATGTTGGTTGATTTATGATCTGCTAAAAAAAAAATTATGATATTTAATGATTTGGAACTAATTCTTTTTAATCCTGGAGTCTTGGAGTCTTGCAGCTATTATAACCAAGGGTTGCTAGTTCAAAAATTGGTTCCTCTAACCTAAAATTCTTGATTTTTTCCCCATTAGTAGTCCATAAACTTTTTTACATTTTTAAAGCTTCTGGATACCAAAAACAAGGAAGAACTATTTTTTTTTTGTAATTTTTTAATTCGGAGGCCTTTTTGGTACTCCGCATCCCTAATAGAATAGTTCTTAAAGTACCTGCACAGCTTACGTTGCTAAAACAAGTTGTTATATTATAACTTTCACCAATACATAACTTGCTATCATTGAAACAAATTCTTGATTTATTCACAATGCGGTAGTGGTGTAGTGGTAGAGCGCTCGCTTCAAAAACGAGTGGTTCCGAGTTCGATCCCCACCACGTCCCTAGTAGTACCGCGCTTAACTCGTTTCTCCGCGAAGCGGTCTTGTTTGTCAAGGTTCGTGTTTCGGAGTTATAGAGTTGAGAGAGGGTTATAGCCACAAAATAAGTAGCCTCCTCGTCTGTAGTGGCCTTCTCGGCCTTGAGGAGTTGAAGTAAAATAAAAAAAAAAAAAAAAAAGCTCCAATACCACAAGACACATTGCAATTAGACCATTCACTCCAATCTGACCAAACACGTTAAAAATTTATTATACATAACCTTAATAAATGCATTAATAGTATAGACATAAACTTTTTATTTGTAATTTTTTTCTTAAAAGTAACAATATTTTTTTTAATTTGAATTCGCTCCCAACAAGGCTGCAAGCAACAACTAGTTAAGAGTTACTAGAAAACAAAGAATAAAGTTGAGAGTTACTAGAAAACAAAAAACAAAGTTAGAGATCAAGGAAACAGTTGACAGAAAACTTTAAAAGTTATAAGTTGTATGAGTCAGAAAATATGAAGATGGGGAAAAGTTTCTAAGGGTTGAAATGAAGGGAAAAAAACTTGCGAGGAAATGCGGGAAAAAAAAAAGTTTTTAGAGCATGCAGAAACAGATTTAGTAAAAAATACAGTAAAATGTGACTTTACTGACCAATGAGTCAATACAGTAAAATGTAACTTTACTGACCAATGAGTCAATACAGTAAAATGTAACTTTACTGACCAATGAGTCAATACAGTAAAATGTAACTTTACTGACCAATGAGTCAATACAGTAAAATGTAACTTTACTGACCAATAAGGGTTGAAATGAAGGGAAAAAAACTTGCGAGGAAATGCGGGAAAAAAAAAAGTTTTTAGAGCATGCAGAAACAGATTTAGTAAAAAATACAGTAAAATGTGACTTTACTGACCAATGAGTCAATACAGTAAAATGTAACTTTACTGACCAATGAGTCAATACAGTAAAATGTAACTTTACTGACCAATGAGTCAATACAGTAAAATGTAACTTTACTGAACAATGAGTCAATACAGTAAAATGTAACTTTACTGACCAATGAGTCAATACAGTAAAATGTGACTTTACTGACCAATGAGTCAATACAGTAAAATGTAACTTTACTGAACAATGAGTCAATACAGTAAAATGTAACTTTACTGACCAATGAGTCAATACAGTAAAATGTAACTTTACTGACCAATGAGTCAATACAGTAAAATGTAACTTTACTGACCAATGAGTCAAAACAGTAAAATGTAACTTTACTGACCAATGAGTCAATACAGTAAAATGTAACTTTACTGACCAATGAGTCAAGCCAGAAAGAGTTTAGATGATGGAACTAGAGATGATAGCTCCTTCGAGCAACAACCATGACAGTACTTGAAGAAAAGAAAAAGAAATGCAATTTTAGAACGATGGGAGAGAGGCTTAAGCTAGGCAGATGAAGCAGGTCTAACTACTTTTATAATACAATTTTAGACCTTGTATAAAAGAGAAAGAGCATCATTAAAAAAACCAGCTCAAATATGACAACAATATTCAATACAGTGATGAATAAGAGATTTGTAGACGTAGAAGATGGAATCAGGAGTAACATAATGGTGAGCACAATAAAAACAAACAACCTTAGCAAATCTTTCCAATCAATTATAAATATGATTTCCATGAGATATTAGTAGCGAATGATAATCCAAAAAGACACACAGAAGAGGACTCAGTAAAAGGGTTGCCATTCATTAATATTGGAATGTCAACAGTGTTGCAATAGCTGTTTTCAGTTAATAACTGAGTTTTGTTTGAGTTAAAACTCACAATTCACTGCAAGCCCCAATCTATTACAGAAGTGATGTCAGATTTAAGAAAACCATGTTAAAACAATGATGTTAAAAATCATAATATTAAAACCATAATGACTATTTTAGCATTCGATTCACACTGATATGCTGGAAATAATTCAGGCATACCCTTTGTATTGAATTTCTTTATTTACAAATGATTCTATTTAAAGAAAAACTTAACTGTACTTCATATTATAAAAAAGTGTGAGAATAAAATGTTCTTTAAAATACTCATCAGTTAGTATTGTGCCTGCACAGCCTATGTTGCAAAATGATCTGTTATATTATAACTTTTACCAACACAAAATTTGCTATCATTCAAACAAATTCTTGACTTATTCATAACTCCAATACCACAAGGCACATTGGAATTAGACCATTGACTCCAATCTGACCAAATAAAAAATTTAATAGACATAATTCTATAATATTTTAATGAACAACTTAATACTGCTCATTTGCGCGCTTCTTGAACATGGAGCACCAATCTAAAATCTTGAAAAATTCAAAGAAAAGCAATTCAAACAAGTAGCCTCATAAATCTAAGTTATGAACCACAATTAAAAAAGTTCAATACTACAACGCAAGAAACTCATAGAGAAGATTTAATCAAGTGCTTTAAAATTGTGCACAATGTAATACAATTTAAATGGTAAACATCTATGTCAAAAATAATAATAAAACCTGAAGAGTTAATGGAACAATATATATACAGAAGAAACTCTGTTTAATTCTAAAAGGAATGCTGTCCATTAAGAGAGAATTTTATTCTTAATAGAATATCTAATTTAAAACATAAATTTTATCTAATAAAAAATTAATTGCAACTTTTATAGAACAGTTAGTTACGTACCTGCACAGCTTACGTTGCTAAAACAAGTTGTTATATTATAACTTTCACCCACACATAATTTGCTATCATTGAAACAAATTCTTGATTTATTCATAACTCCAATACCACAAGAAACATTGCAATCAGACCATTCACTCCAATCTGACCAAATACCTTGAAAAAATTAATAAGTTACTTATAATAATACATTACTTATAATAATATATTACTTATGTTCTGAATTCATTTAAATTCTGCAATTAAACAGAAGTTGTCCTTTTGTCAATTACCTATTATCAAATTATATTAAAGGTATTTAGTATTAAATGTAAAAAAATGTCAAAAACTTAGAAATATCATTTACTTTTTTGATTTTCAGTTTAAATTGTATCTTATAAAACCTTGACTGTAAACACCTAATGTTATAGATTAAGAAGCTGTAAGAACACAATGCAAATTCATTTATAGAACAGTTAGTAGCATACCTTCACAGCTTATGTTGCTAAAACATGTTGTTATATTATAACTTTCACCAACACACAATTTGCTATTGTTGAAACAAATTCTTGATTTATTCATAACTCCAATACCACAAGACACATTGCAATCAGACCATTCACTCCAATCTGACCAAACACCTCAAAAATAAAACATAAAATTAATAATTGTGATAGTAAAGACACTGTTAATTTTTTTTTTAGTCAAGTATTTGCATTTGATTTAAATTGTTAAGTTGGAAAAAATTAGGCATATCAATACTATTTGATATATTTTTGTCAATTACTTTTGTCAATTACAATTAAGTTTTTAAACATATTTTAAAATTTAGTACAAAATAACTTAAAATATTTCTTTAAATAAATTGATTTGAAAATAAGTAATTGACAAAAGTAATTGACAAAAGGATGTTTTAATAATAAATTTGTTGCATAGATAAAATCATTCTTAAGTAACAGACAACAACAAACTTGTTTTTTTTAGATAATACAACAAACTTGTCAACTTTTTTAGATAACAAAAATGTATGCTGATTATAGTAAGACTATTGCTGAGCTGGACAATATTGAGACACTATGAAATGAATTACAAAATCATACAGCCAAATGGTGTCATGTATGGAAGATGAAATTTAATGATGTAAGTAAATTTATAATAATTTGGTAAGTATAATAAAAAAAGAGAATATATTATCTTAGACTACAATCATAACATACGAACTTGAATTGAAGTCTTCATTTAGAAAAAGACCTCTACTGATGGAAAATACAGTCAACATATCAATTACTGCACTAACAGAGCTAACAAAATTCTAGGTTTAATTAGACACATTTTTGAAATCTACACCATTTTAATTGCTAAAATATTGTATAAAGTTTTTGTTCAACCCATCTTGAATATGCAGCACCGATCTGGAATCCATCAAAGAAACACGATATATCAGCTCTTGAAAAATTTCAAAAAGAGCAACTTGAATAAGAAGCCTCTTACATTTAAGTTATGAATCACTGTCTAAAATGTTTAATACTATATAACCCTAGAAACTTGTGAAGAAGATTTAATCAAGTGCTTAAAAATTGTTCACGAATTAATACATGTTAAATGGTGTACATTTATGTCAAAAATAATAATAAAACTTAAAAGTGAACATAAAGTCATTGGCTGATATGGAGTGTACTTATTACACACTCTTGTTTAACATTATAAACATTAAAATTTTTGTTATAAATTATTTTGATTAATAATTTTGAATAAATAGTTATTTTTTATTACTGTTATAATTTGTATTCAACTTCTGTGATTTTCACTTGAAACCATATCTAATAAAAACTCAATTGTAAACACTTTATGTTATAGATTAAAAAAGGTTGAGAGTACAATGAAATAAAAATATTTATAGAACAGTTAGTAACATACCTGCACAGCTTACATTGCTAAAACAAGTTGTTATATTAAAACTTTCACCAACACATAATTTGCTATCATTGAAACAAATTCTTGATTTATTCATAACTCCCATACCACAAGACACATTGCAATCAGACCATTGACTCCAATCTGACCAAACACCTTAAAAAAGTTAATGCGCACAATTTCATTAATTGCAATAATAAAAACAGATTATGTTTTACCTTTTTTTGACAAACATTTTCTCATATAAAAAAAACATTTATTAAACCATATTTAAAGTTAAATTAACATTTTTGGCCTGAAATCAATTTTTTGGGGTCTTTTACGCCTTCAAGTATGAAAAGCTTCAAATATTGACATCATAATTTTCTTGCATGTCTTGGTTTTACTAAAAAAAATTTATCTATATGTCTAAATGTAAAACCTTTTGTCATGAATAAATTATTTTATTGTGAGTTCAAGTAGTATGTTTCATTATTTGTATTTGTAAAATAGGAATTTTTCAATGCTTATTTTAATACTACGTTCTTCTAATGCTCTCAGTAATATATTCTAATAATTTGTTCTTGTTTCAGTAAATTTTTACAGTAATTTGTTTTTAGAAACATGTTTCAGATGCTACAATAGTCACATGCTTTGCTTTGTTATATCTTACATATCAATTCATCCAATTGTTGTAATGTTAAGCTTGAGTTCTTCAACTATTTTTTAAATGCTTTTGCTTGGCATCTCTTCATAAAATCACTTTTATTTTTGCTATTATTATTCTCGTTCAAACTAAAATTTTTTAATGTTGTTTCTCATCATATTGACTAAGCCCTATCTTATTAGTCCTCTACCAATATTGTTGCAATTGGCAACTTTATTGCTCATCACACTGATTGGGATGGCTCTTGTATCACTATTAACTGTTAATTATCCCTGTTGGTTCACTATTTCAAAATTTTGGTATTTTTAAACCTTTTACACAGGTTTTATCTTTAAGACTTTCTAAACAACTCTAATCAATTACCTTCACTCCTTGATTAGTGTCTGGTTTCTGACCCTAGCTTGTGCTCATTTTCTCCTTCTTTTCCTTTAAGGGTTGTTCAGTTCATGCTATGACCTCACTAAGACTCTTTTCATAATTTTATTCTTGTTAAATGATATCATTTGTCTCTCTTTTGAAAACTGTACCATGTTAAAAGTACCCTGGATTCAGTCACATTTGAAAGCATTCATTTCTTTTGTTTCTAAGTCAAACTTCTTTTTACCCCTCCCTACCCTCTTTCTAGTGAGGCAGCTATTTCTAATCATCATCATTTCTTTCATTTTTTGTCCACAAAAGCAACTTAAAAACAAATTGTTCAAAGTTTAGGTTCAAAGGTTCTAGAAACTTCAAAAAAAATCTTCAATAATTTCATTAAAACAACATAAAACACTCCATCTCTCATGCATAGGTGGGATCTTATTAACTCTCCTAATAATAAGACATAACTATTTAGTTTTTAGTAAGTCCATTTTATGCTGCAATGATAACTATTTTATGCAGAATAATACCAAGTTACAAATATATGATTCTTATGATTCTTACTTTCAATCATTTCTTTTGATTTTCTTTAGATGCCTGATGCCCTGCTCCATCACATTCATTTCAAAATGATCATCATATCCATATTTAAAACATGCTCTATTACAGCCATCTTTAAATCTTGTCACCATCTACTGAAATAAAAAGTTTCTTTAATTATATTCAAAAACAGAATCAATTTTCATTTTAACAAGTTATTTGAATTGAACAGAAACACCATTTACACGACATAACTAATTGTAGGGCAAAGTTTTTTTCTTCTATCGATTAAATTGTTAGTTGTTAGAAAATGATGCCTTTTGAAGCAAAAACAAATCTTATTTATATTGTTTCCTCTCTTAATATTCCGTCTCTTCTATCTCTTTTCTTAGTTTTCTTTTGAATCAATTATGTTAAAGACATCTATTATTTCTATATGGTTTGTAAACAAGTGCAATGCCAGCACAAGCAATGCTCTTAATATTTTGTGTATTAATTCTATATAAGAAGTAATCCAATTTATTATGTTCACTAATTTTTTGGCAATGCTGACCTAATTGTCAATCTAGAAGTGTTTGATATTTCTATGTTTTATGATCTAGCCTTTGTTTCACATTTTTTCTGCCAAACTGTTGCAGACGTTACACAGATTAAGCTCAGCAAATTATTGTCGACCTTATTTTTCCTAATTCTAAGGACTATATAAATATATATATATATATATATATATATATATATATATATATATATATATATATATATATATATATATATATATATATATATATATATATATACATATATATATATATATGTATATATATATATATATATATATATATATATATATTTATATTTATATTTATATTTATATTTATATTTATATTTATATATATATATATATAGATTTATATTATATATATATTATATATATATATATATATATATATATATATATATATATATATATATATATATATATATATATTTATATAGTCCTTGGAATTAGGAAAAATAAGGTCAACAATAATTTGCTGAGCTTAATCTGTGTAACGTCTGCAACAGTTTGGCAGAAAAAATGTGAAACAAAGGTTTGATCATAAAACATAGAAATGTCAAACACTTTTAGATTGACAATTAGGTCAGCATTGCCAAAAAATTAGTCAACAAAATAAACAATAAATGAAATATTTTCTTCTTTTAATTTTACAAAAATTACTTACAAAAATCTTACAAAAAATCACTCTTACAAAAAATAAAAGAAGAAAATATTTTGTTTATTGTTTATTTTGTTGACTAATTTTAAAAGTTAGTTGATCAAATAAATCAAGCTGTCCCACTATATATAACAACCCACAATGGAAGTAGTTGAGAAAATGCCACTCTCAATGGAATCCACTAATCAACAACATTGCAAGTCTTTTTTATAAATCTTATAAAAATATTAGATCACAGAAGTTCTATGATCTGAACAAAACACAAAGAGAAACGTAAAGAAACTTAGAGTTAAACAAAAGTAAAATAAGTTAAACTAAACCAAAAACAATGCAGATGACTATTATTATGAACACAAGTATGGTAACAAAACTAAAGATATGCAACTTGATTATAAAACCTACCAAGATTTAAGATTATTGAATCCTTTCTTTCCAATCGTAGTATAAAAGTTGTCCTTGATGGATAGCACTCTTCTTCTTATTCTGTAACCTCAGGGGTTCCTCAAGGTTCAATCTTTGGCCCTAAACTCTTTTTAATATACATTAACGATCTTCCAGATATTCTCACATCTTAGGTAGCATTGTTCGCTGATGATACTACCATTTATTCTTGTCACAATAAGAAGCCAACTCCCTCTAATTGCTTGCAGGGATCATATTGAGCTTAAAAAGGATTTCACTTCTGCTACAGCATGGGGCTCACAGTGGCTGGTAAACTTTAAGATAAAACTCAATTTTTTTCAGCCAATCGTTATTGCAATAATTTAGAACTTCCTATATTTATGAATGGTAATGTACTCGATGAGTCATCTACCCTTCATCTTCTAGGATTAACTCTTACTTCTGATCTTTCTTGAAAACCTTATATCAAATCCGTTGCAAAATAAGCATCTGCTAAAGTTGCATCTCTTTATCGAGCTCAACACTTTCTTACTCTGGATTCTATTCTCTATCTCTATAAATCTCAAATCCGGCCCTGTATGGAATACTGTTGCCATATCTGGAGCAGATCTTCTAATGATGCCGTTTCTCTTTTAGACAAGGTGCAAAAACGCATTGTAAACATAGTTGGACCTGCTCTTGCAGCCAACCTTCAACCTCTGTCACATCCTCGTAATGTTGCTTTTCTTTCTCTTTTCTACAAATACTATAATGGGCACTGCTCTAAAGAGCTAGCATCTCTTGTGCCATCTACTAAAATTCATTCTCGTGTTACTTGTCATTCAATTAAGTTTCATCCATTTTCTGTTACTGTTCCTAAGTGCTCCAAAAACACTTATTCGTCTAGTTTTTTTCCTCGAACATCAGTTCTTTGGAATTCGCTTCCTTCATCTTGCTTTCCTGATTCAGAAAATTTGCTATCTTTTAAGTCGTCTGTCAATCGTTATCTTGATCTACAATCTTCATCTTTTTTCTTCCAGTAACTTCCAACACTAATTAGTGGTTGCTTGCAGCCTTGTTGGAAGCGAAGATCTTATAAAAAAAAAAACATCCTCTTATAAACAACCGAACTTACTTTGCTAAACCAACTTTTCTAGAGTCTAACATAAAAACATCAGTTTGTGACAGTTTACAGTAAATACAACAGTTTGTGACAGCCATTATAACTTTTTATTTTATTATATCACCCAACTCACACAACCCTGCATCAAATAACTCTTAGCATACCTTTAAGACAACAACCAAACCCTATCTACCCAAGAATAACACAACTTAATTCATATGATTTCGCATTTGTCACTGCAGATGCCACACACAAAATATCTATAGAAATATATATAGAAGGCATTAAATGGATAGGATATCCATGAACAATCTATCTCAAAAATGCCCATCTTCCAATATCATCTCTATAATATAGATTACATAAAATAGAGACTCTATTATACTTGATACCACATTTATTAATACTATTTTTAAACTGTATGACCAACATTAAAAAATCCATGGTACTAGCATAGGATAACTTTATAGAACTCAAAACACTCACCAGGTGATTCTTATAGTACACCTTGTGCACATTTTTAATGAGAACAATTCCTTCAAAAATACCTTGTGCACATTTTCAATGAGAACAATTCCAGAGCACTTAACAAAATACAATTTAACCAACCCATCAATCTAACCAACCCATCAATCTAACCAACCCAATAATCTAACCAACCCATCAATCTAACCAACCCATCAATCTAACTAACCAATCAATCTAACTGATCAATCAATCTAACTAACCAATCAATTTAACTTACCAATCAATCTATGTAATCAATCAATCTAACTGATCAATCAATCTAACTAACCAATAAATTCCTCTAAAACCTAAAGACACTTTCTCCCCCATTACATCATTTATTCAACCATCCTTACACCATTTAGTCACATAGACATTCAAATCAACAAAACTATTAGAACACACTGGCATATCATTGAAGAGATTCTTGAGTTGTCTATCAGACTTGCCAAATCAACCTTTATGCAAAAACAGGATCATCAGTGATATTACAAACACGGTACACATGACAATGCCTAAAATCCTTACCTATAGTGATATAGACAATGAACTGAGAGATTTTTTGGTTATTCTTTTTTGCTATTTATATTAATTTTCAAGTATTTTTTTTTTTTTTTTTAATTCACCTCCTCAAGGCCGAGAAGGCCACTACAGACAAGGAGGCTACTTATTTGTGGTAATAACCCTCTCTCAACTCTATAACTCCGAAACACGAACCTTGACAAACAAGGCCGCTGCGCGAAGAAACGAGTTGAGCGCGGTACTACCAGGGACATGGTGGGGATCAAACTTGGAACCACTCGTTTATGAAGCGAGCGCTCTACCACTACACCACTACACTAGTAAATTATTATTATTTTTTTTTTTTTATATTAATACAGTATCAGAATACTAACAGTTATCATTTTTCCTTATTTTCTTTTTGTTATGTATTTTGAATAGCATTTTATTGAGCTGCTTACTCCATTTTGTTATTTTGATATTCTTGTTATTTTTACCTCATTATCTAGTTCTAAAAATCTCTTATTTGTCTATAAAGAGAATACTTTTAACATAAATGAGTTGCTAATGACGTTATCTCTCTTTTAGGCAATTTAAATACTTGGTGCTTTAATGCAAGATGGCAAAATACAATACCTAAAAAAGTTTATAGAACAGTTATTAACATACCAGCACAGCTTATATTGCAAGTTGTTATATTATAACTTTCACCAACACATAGTGTGCTGTCATGGAAACAAATTCTTGATTTATTCATAACTCCAATACCACAAGACACATTGCAATCAGACCATTGACTCCAATCTGACCATACACCTAAAAAAATGTAAAACATATAATCTTAATAAGTTAAACAAATAGAACAGATGTTGTACAGAGGTTGTTTTAAGTTTTTTTTTTCTAAAAAGTATTTAAAAATAAAAATGATAAACTTAAATTTTAAAATTTAGCATTTGATTTATATTAAAATATTTAAAATATAAAGAATTACATTTTTGTTTAACTTCTTTGCGTTACAATAAAATATATACATTTGAGTTTTTCTTAAGTATTTACATTAAATTTGAGTTTTTCTTAAAGAAAAACTCAAATGTAAATACTTTATGTTAAAAATAAAAATCATACAATACTCATTAAAAATTTCAAAAGAACAGTTACTAACGTACCTGCACAGCTTAAATTGCTAAAACAAGTTGTGATATTATAACTTTCACCAATGCATAATTTGCTATCATTAAAACAAATTCTTGATTTATTCATAACTCCGATACCACAAGACACATTGCAATCAGACCATTCACTCCAATCTGACCATACACCTTGAAAAAAATTAACATAAATAATTTTATTAACTGGGGTGATAGTAAAGAGAATGTCTTTCAATTATTTTTGTGTATTAAAACGTTAACTATAAAACCATATTAAAGTTATATAGTATTTAATTAGTTAAAATGTTGAAAAAAATTAGGTACACCATTTGTATTCAACTTTTTTGATTTTCACTTAAAATTAAATCTAATAAAAACTCAACTGTAAACACTTTATGTTATAAACTAAAAAAGTCTGAGAATACAATGCTTACTTTATAAAAATATTTATACAACAGTTATTTACATACCTGCACAGCTTAGATTGCTAAAACATGTTGTAATATTATAACTTTCACCAACACATAATGTGCTATCATTGAAACAAATTCTTGATTTATTCATAACTCCAATACCACAAGACACATTGCAATCAGACCATTGACTCCAATCTGACCATACACCTTAAAAAAATTAATATACATAATCTTAATAAATGTAATAATAGTACAAACATAGTTTAAAATTATTTTTTTTGAAAAACATTTATATTAACACTTTATGTTAAAGATAAAAATAAATGTGAGAATACAATACTTTATAAAAAATATTTTTAAAAAAGTTATTTACATACCTGCACAACTTACGTTGCTAAAACAAGTTGTTATATTATAACTTTCACCAACACATAATTTGCTATCATTGAAACAAATTCTTGATTTATTCATAACTCCAATACCACAAGACACATTGCAATCAGACCATTCACTCCAATCTGACCATAAACCTTGAAAAATGTTGTATACAAAATTTCAGAAAACTAATTAAGTAATCGTTGTAATTTATTTCATGATTTGAAACAAAAAAAAATTATAATCTATTACGCTTTTGGTAAAATAATAATTCTACTTAATTACTTAGCTTTTAATAAAAAATTTATTATTCACCAGTAAACTGTAAACATTATAAACCAGTAAAACATTTACATTTACATACCACTCGTTAAACACATGTAAACATTATAACCACTCGTTACTCTTACTGATCTCAATACTAAGTACTTTAAAAACAAATTAAAATTCTTAAAATATAAAGAGAAGAAAAGAATTACTTAAAATATTTAAAAATCATTAATTATTTAAAAATTATGCTTAAAAACACTGACACTTCCACCAATAGGTTGATGGTACATCAATAGATGCAAGAATGGCACCCTTATATTGTAACTTGTTTATGGGCAGATTGAATGATAAAATTAGAACTCAGATTTTATAAATAGCACCCAAACAACTAATATATTGAGTTATTTACATCATAACTCCAATCACCATCTGAAGAAAAGCATTGTTTTTAGTCAAGCGTTAATAAAATTTTATCAGAACAAGAAAATCTTTCTTAAGAACTGATAACATCAACATGAACCTTCGTGTTAGGGGTTACGCAGTGAAGTATATAAATCTACTATCACTAAAGTTTTGCAACATAGTCAAAAAACAACTAATTGTTAAACCCTTAAAAATTATGTAGACGCAATACGCATAGTGACTCCATACTGTTATAATGGGAGAGATACTAATAACATTATTAAATAGAGACTCCTATTTCGCAGATATATTTCTATTGGAATCCACACCTATCTATTTTAATACAGCATCAATTAAAGACATTTTATAATGAAAGTCTTGACTTTTCATAATAGGTTTAGGTTTATGTTACAACATATTGCTAGAATAATCTGTTTATTTTTAATATGTCATTACTTTTTGTGTTTGTTAAGTATTGGTCTCTATTTCCAACAATATTTATATTTATATTTTATAATACATTATTATTTTCTAAAAATATTTACTGGTGAGCTGCAACTTCTTCCAATATACTCCACTAAAACAATACAAACACTAAGTTATCCCAATGAACGTGGTTAAGGCACTTTCAATAATTATTTGTGTTGTACAAATTTAAGAAAATTTTAAGTGTTTGGCTTTTAACTTTTTTGACAATAAAGATAGCAACAGGCTACAAGTGAAACAATAAAATAGAAGAAACATTCATTCAAAGATTCATATCAGAAAATGCATTTAAAATTTTTTTGGAAAACCCTTTAAAAGAAAAACTTTTTTAAAAAGAAATCTTGACTGGTTTTTTTGGCCCACACTGTGTATATACTAGAGATGTACCAGATATTTATGCCGGATATTAAACTTTTTTCAAGTTCTATAAGTGTTTATAAAGTAAAAACAAGTTTTTCTATTCTACAGTGTTCAAGATTGAAAAAAAAACAAAATCAATAAAAAACTGGTATAACACAGGTATATGCATTAATAATGTATAAAGAAAAATTGTTTTTTATAACCAAATTTTTGTTTTTTTTTTAGTTACTATTTTCTATACTTTGTCAGCACATATACCATGTCATACAGTTTTTCACAAATTTTTTTAAGTAAGATCTTGAATACTATTTAATGTAGATTAGCAAAACAAAATTTTTTCTTTATAAACACTTATAGAACCTTAGAAAAGTTCACTATCCGGCATATCCGGCAAAAACATCTTGTACACCTCTAGTATATACAGTATTATTCAAAATTTTGTGGACAGGCAAAAAAAAAATTTTACTAATATTTCAGTGCACACACCACTAAAATAATATGATGATATTATATAACAAGTAAAAGGTTATCAGGTTAACAATTATGTTTTGAATAAATAATTTAATTAACATTTTAAAATTGGTTTACAAAATAACAGTTTTTGATAAGTTCAAAAGTTTGCGTACAAGCTAAAGCTATTAACATTTTACCCACAAAATTGCTAATTTTTTAATTTTTTAAACAAATACTTTGTGGAAATAATTTAAAAACTTTATTTATAAGTGATTGAGATTATAGATCTAAGAAATATTTCTCGTGTTAAAAAGAATGATCTTGAGATCAGTTCAAAAAGATCAGTTCATTTCATAAAACAGCACAGCTTTATGGAGTTGTTAAGTCTGCTGATTGGACAAATTATGAAGAGATATGAGCTTAATAGATCTACGAAGAATAAAAATCTATCAGAAAGACCACCTAAAATAAAACGCATTATTAGGATGAAAAGCTTGTGATACTAAGCAAAGAAAATCCCTATTTGATGGCTGTCGATATAAGCGTGTATATATATATATATATATATATATATATATATATATATATATATATATATATATATATATATATATATATATAAAATATATATATATATATATATATATATATATATATATATATATATATATATATATATATATATATATATATATATATATATATACACAGTGTACTCCAAAACTAAAGCAACTTTTAAACGTCATACATAAAACAGACAAAAGTATAAAAACAAGATATATTTTTGTTAAAAATTCTTTCCATTATATAAATAAAAATAGTAAGCAATAATGTAAAGAAAAATAAAAAATAATGTAAAAAAATAAAATTGTATGCTTCCAAAACTAAAGCAACACTAAAAAATTAATTCAAAACCTTGCTAATAGTACATGTCTAAAAGATTTATTTCTTCAAAATTAGATTAATATCAATAATCAATAGCATATCCTTTGTTTTTTATAACTTTTTTACAACGACATGACATTGATTCAATCAATTTATAAATTTGTAATTTATTTACTACCTGCCATGCTTGGCAGGTAGTAAATAAATTACATATTCTGGTTGTACAACTGATCAGCATTTCTAAATGTTCCTTTTAGTTGGATGGCATCGCCTAATTGATTGCAAAGGTTTTCAATGGGGTTGAGGTCTGGTGAATTAGCTGGCCATTTCATTAAACTGATTTGGTTAGTATTAAACCAGGTTTTAATAAGTTTAGAAGCATGTTTGGGGTCATTGTCATGCTGGAATTGCCATCTTAAAGGCATATTATCATTAGCAAAAGGAACCATTTGTTTTTCCAATATACCTTTATATTCACAAATCTCACTAATCTACGATCAGTAACTTTTGATGTTTTGGGGACACGACCCCCGTTGTGCTTTGTTTCGACAGTGCCTCTGACTTTGTTTCTGCTGATCTATCGGTTGATCACCAATTTTTCCACATTATACTTTACAGATAGTTCATGTTGTTGAACTCCATCACTAAAATCAGCAATTACTTTTTGCTTAAATAAGGTACTATATTTATTTCTTGCCATTATTTAATCCTAAAATGTTAGAATTTTATATCAAAGTTTATTGTTACAGCAAAATGATATTTTAATAATAAAGTTGCACTTTCAAAACAAATTACTATTTAAGAAAAGAAGTTTATCTACTTAAAGTGATTTACTGAAATTAAATATATTTCTGTGGTTAATTTATTGTTAAATTTGGTTTCATTGTTAAAGTTGCTTTTGTTTTGAAGTCTATTTAAATTTTTTAAATTACTAATACTGGTATTTTGCACGCAATTTACTATACTTTTTTTGTGTTAAATATAAAATTATTTTAAGAATTTGTTTTAATTGTATTACTAAGTATGATTTCGCAAAGTTAAACGAAAAAATAACATAATTTGTATCTATAAATAAAGATTTTTTTAATTTAGTCATGTTGTTCCTAAAGAAGTTGCTTAAGTTTTGGAAGTCACTGTATATATATATATATATATGAATATATATATATATATATATATATATATATATATATATATATACAACCGTCCTTAATTATTCATACTTTTGGATATATGATATCAAAGTTTTACTTACTATTTGGAGAGAAGCTGAAAACAAACTGTACCTGAATTACATGTTATCTTCCTATCTATTAGGTTTACAAAAAAAATAATATAAAGTCCTATTAGATTAGTTTATAACTTGCTTGCCTTTTAATCACCCTTTACGACAATAACCGCCATATATACTCTTGGCATTCTACTTAACGACTTATCTAAGTTGTCGAAATAAATTTTATGCCACTAACTAATAAGTTTTGTCCACATCTTGTGCATCATTAGACATTAGTTTTTGACATTACTTTTATTTCCTCCCATAAAAATCCGATAGAAGAGAGATCTTGTGAGAGAGGCTATATCATTTTATTCAATACTTGTTTGTTCTTAAACTCAGTCAAATAACTTATAGACTTTTTTTAAATAATATGTTTTAGATTTAAGCTTTATATTATTTTCTTCTGAAAAATAATCAACTTTCCATTAACCCATCCTTCTAAAGGTGTAGCATGATTTTTTAAGTGTAAACTACTTTTGTCATTACTACCTCTATTTTTATAAAACCACCTGTGACACTCCAACCAAAACAACCCCACATCTTCACACTAAATTCACCATGTTTTAAACTCAATAATACACACTATTTTATCATACATTTCTTCAAGAATTCTTTTTTCCAGACGAACAATTTTCTCTTGAAACAAAAGATTAAAAACTTCGACACGTTGGTCAACATGTTGTTTACAATCATTGATGGTTGATTTTTTATGTAGTTTTATCCAATTTAGCATTTTGATTATTCTTATGGTTTTTGTCAAAGCATTTTAACTAAAATACTTTAAAACATCTCATAAATGATAAGGTAAAAAGTTGCAATATATATATATATATATATATATATATATATATATATATATATATATATATATATGTATATATATATATATATATATATATATATATATATATATATATATATATATATATATATATATATATATATATATATATATATATATATGTGTGTGTGTGTTTGTTTGAATGAGTTTTGGCTTACCGTAGTAGAGATGATAGCTCGTTTAAGCATTGACCATGATAGTAATTGTAGAAAAAAGAAATGCAACCTTACAACAATAGGAGAGTGGCTCAAGCTTGGCAGATAAAGCAGGTCTAATTACATATGCAATGTGCTTTTAGATTTTGTTTTTGAGTAAGAGGGATGTTATTCATCAATATAAAAATGCCAACATTATTGCAATATTTTCTTGCAGTAAGTAAATGAGTTTTGTTGTCTAACAAAAATTGTGGATTTCAAGTTCAGAATTTAAATCCATAGGCCACTACAAGCCTTCGACTGTTACAGAAGAGAGATCAGATTAAAAATTGGCAGCTTGTTCTAAGCAATCAAAAAGTGAAGATTTTTTGTCAAGACAAGAATATAAAGTTAAGTTGTCAGCAAATGGAGCCACTTTAGATGTAAAATTTTCATGAAGATCAATATTGTAGATAAAAAACAATACAGGAGCAAAGATAGAACCTTGTGGTACCCTTAAAGTTACTAAAGAAGAGTGTAGGCCTTCAAGAATAACTTAAATACTGCAGTTAGAAATAAATTAATCTCAAAACCTTTATATAAAGAAACTAATAACAGAGTGAAGACTAATTGTAGGATAGTTAAAGAGGTCAAAGTGTTTTCTAGAGTTTTGAAAAACACTTTTTAAAGACTATGATGGAAATCTAGTCTGGAGCACAAACTGTAGACGTTTTTAATTGAGATTTAACTTTAGCATTGGAAGCCAGAGTGATTTGTATGTGTAACAATGAGTTAATCTGTTTAACTGGCAGAAAGAGTATGGGCAAGAGTTAAATTAAAGTAAGATTTCTTTGCAAATAATGAAATACTTTATTTTGGGGAGAAAAAAAAAATTTCAGATCCATGAATTAGAGATTAAACATTAGACTTACTTTAGTTAATGACACTGTTGAAGACTAACAAAAGTCTCTATAACTTAACATCTGAGATAAGATACAAGATTAGTAAACTGAGAATAACAGAGCTTAACATCAGACAGGACCTTTTTACATTGGCTTCTTGGAATAAGAAGAGGAATTTGTTCTTAAGAGAGATGTTTTTTCATTTTGTAATAAAGATGAAAAAATGATTAAAGTTTAATAAAATAACTGCTCAAGATGGTGAAAAATGTGGAGCAGAATAAGGCTTGACTTAAAATTGAAGAGAATGAATAAAAGCTTTCTAAGATGCGCTTTATACATCCATATTATAGATATAAACATATAAGTTTGCTAATTATTTAGATGCTGACATACAATATCCTTTGACTTCAGAATTTTACTTATTTTTTTTACTTATATCCTTTCAAAGTTTTACATATTTAGAAGCTTTGACTTCAGAGTTTTAATTATTTGACAAAGAACTATAAAAAATTTTACTGTTCATAAAAAATGTTTTATATTTTCATATTTTAATAGAATGCAGGCATTTTAAGAATTATTACAACAATTAAAAATTCCATAATAAAAGTGATTATTATATTAAAGTAATAAATATATATATATATATATATATATATATATATATATATATATATATATATATATATATATATATATATATATATATATATATATATATATATATATAATATATAATTTACTACATAAAATAAAAATTATAACTCAATAACTTTATATTTATCAGTTAGTGCAATCTAATCAAAAAAATTTTCCATTTCAATTAGCGCTCTTTTTTAATTAATTAATTTTTCATGCAACAACTTGCCTTTTAAAATATATCTTTAAAAGGCACGTTGTTTTATTTTCGCATTTTGCCTTATTTCATATTATTATTTTTGTTTCTTATTTCATATTTTTACTATTAATTTATTTAATTTTTTGAATTATTTTATTTTGTTATATTCATAAACATATTATACAAGTCATTTTCGTATATAGCACAAGAGCAAAAAAAAGTCATCTTGATAAACTGTCAGTTCATGTTTTAACTCCCATTAAATAACAAGCATAAACTAATTTCTTTTCTTTATAAGTTGCTTTTAGACATAAGCATAATGGTTTTCCCTTAGGAATCTGAGTTTGTCCTTTCTATTGCATGTATAGTGCTTATATCTTAAATGTCTTTATTTATTCTGAATATTTTTTAAATTTTTTATCCTTCCTCTTTTTCTATATTTTTTTCTTATTTCACTTGTACTTGACAACTTGGTCTAATCCATTGATGCTTTTTTTTATGTTATTCACCTTCATAAGGCCAAGAAAGCCACTAGATTTAAGGAGGCTACTTGGTTGTGGTAATAACCCTTTCTCAACTCATTAACTTTGTAATACAAAACTTAATAAACAAGGCCGCTGCGCAGAGAAACAAGTTGAGGCCAGTACTGCAAGGGATGTGGCAGGGATCAAACTTGGAACTTCTATAAAGCAAACGCTCTACCACTACACCATTACCACATTTTTTAAATATTTACAAAACTTACTCAATTATGCTTTTAATAAAATAATAACTCTACTTACTTTAATAAAGATTCTATAGAATTAAAGTTGGTTAAAACCTTTTAATAACTTTTAGAGTACAGTAAACTACATTATAAAATAGTTTGAGAATACAATGCTTCATAAAAAAATTTATAGAACAGTTGTATTTATAGTATGTACCTGGACAGCTTACATTGCTAAAACAAGTTGTTATATTATAACTTTCACCAACACATAATTTGCTATCATTGAAACAAATTCTTGATTTATTCATAACTCCAATACCACAAGACACATTGCAATCAGACCATTGACTCCAATCTGACCATACACCTTAAAAAAATTAATATACATAATCTTAATAAATGTAATAATAGTACAAACATAGTTTAAATTTTTTTTTTTTGAAAAACATTTATGTAAACACTTTATGTTAAAGATAAAAATAAATGTGAAAATACAATACTTTATAAAAAATATTTTTAAAAAAGTTATTTACATACCTGCACAACTTGCGTTGCTAAAACAAGTTGTTATATTATAACTTTCACCAACACATAATTTGCTATCATTGAAACAAATTCTTGATTTATTCATAACTCCAATACCACAAGACACATTGCAATCAGACCATTGACTCCAATCTGACCATACACCTTAAAAAAATTAATATACATAATCTTAATAAATGTAATAATAGTACAAACATAGTTTAAAATTTTTTTTTGAAAAACATTTATATTAACACTTTATGTTAAAGATAAAAATAAATGTGAGAATACAATACTTTATAAAAAATATTTTTAAAAAAGTTGTTTACATACCTGCGCAACTTACGTTGCTAAAACACGTTGTTATATTATAACTTTCACCAACACATAATTTGCTATCATTGAAACAAATTCTTGATTTATTCATAACTCCAATACCACAAGACACATTGCAATCAGACCATTGACTCCAATCTGACCATACACCTTAAAAAAATTAATATACATAATCCTAATAAATGTAATAATAGTACAAACATAGTTTAAATTTTTTTTTTTTTGAAAAACATTTATGTAAACACTTTATGTTAAAGATAAAAATAAATGTGAGAGTACGATACTTTATAAAAAATATTTTTAAAAAAGTTATTTACGTACCTGCACAACTTATGTTGCTAAAACATGTTGTTATATTATAACTTTCACCAACACATAAATTGCTATCATTTAAACAAATTCTTGATTTATTCATAACTCCAATCCCGCAAGACACATTGCAATCAGACCATTCACTCCAATCTGACCAAATACCTTGAAAAATTTAATATAGAAAATTCTATAATATTTTAATGAGCAATGTTTTTATTTTTTTGAATTTTTTTTGAATTTAAATATAATTAAATTTAAACATACAGAAATATACCTGTATATTTATTTTTCTTATGTTTGTAAATGCATTTTGAATTTACGTTTATAAAAGTAAAATGCATACTATACAAAAAAAATTCATAATAGAAATAAACTTCATAAAAATTCATATTAGAAATAAATTTTATAAATTCATATTAGAAATTCATATTTAAAAATTCATATTAGAATTCATATTTAAAAATTCATATTAGAAATAAACTTCATAAAAATTCATATTAGAAATAAACTTTATATGTACAATTTTTTAATGGTTCTTCTAAAGTAAATCTTTTTTAACTTGATTATTTTTTATTTGATGTAAGTAAATGCAAAGAAATCTCTAATTTGTTTCTTATGTTTATATAATTTTACATTATAACATTTTTGCTAAAATATTCTAGTTTCTCCACACCTGGATACAAGTTTATAGTGTGGTAAGTTTTTTTTTTTTTTTCTTTACAGTTTTCATGTTTCAAATTATTAGTTGATTTAAAATATTTTTAACTTTGAATTTATTTCTGAAATCTACAATAAAAATAAAGAATTAATGAATATTTTTTTTTTTAAGTTAATTTTATGTATCAGTAATTTTTATTATTGCCATTTTCTAGAAAAAATATCCATTAGAAGCAAATTTATTTCTTTATTCCATTCTTAAAGCACAAATTTTATATCTCAAAAACAAATTATTTGTTAAGATAAATAAAGAAGAGTTACAGATTAAAACTGATGTTTTCTACCGAGAATCACTAAAAAATATTAAGACTTAAGAATACTAGAAAACTATCAAAATTTCGTTATAATAATTGATGTAACAATAAAATTATTCTTAAATTAAAAAGGAATAATTCAACAGGTAAGTGAGAGAAGTGTTAAAGAAACAGTGTTGCTGAAATAAAAACAATTCTTAATTACTAAGGTTTAATCTTTCATGTCATTTAGATTATTACAATAAAAAATTTAAATAACAATTAGCAACACAAACGATTATGACATTTCTTAAGAAAGATATAAAGTCATAATAAGTTATGAATAAAAATTATTCATTCTGAACTCTTCAAAAAACATACACTTGAGATTCTTTTGTTGAGATCGTCTAGGAAGAAGGCTAAAATGCGCTTTTGGAGTTTCAAAGTTCAATTCTGTTCAAACAAACATTATTTATCTGTATTTGGATATTTATTAAGTTGCGAGGTAAATCTGTGTGAATAATATTATTGCCATAATTTTTAGTATTTAAACAAGGATTTTTACTATCTGGTAATAATGTGAAAACTTTCATGAACCTTGTAGATTCATGTTCGATGAAGTTTGATGTGAACATGCTGTGGTTCTGGTTATATTAGATCAGCTACTTTGGGATCGTGTTTGCTAGATCGAACATGCTTCTTTACAAAAACTTTCACCTGTTCTTGGTTGGGGTAAATTGTCCGTTTGTTGATCTCCGTAAAAAATTTGAAAAACCTCACGTGTGATGTTGCATTTATTAAAGTATGGAGCGTAATGAGTGTAAAGCTAAGATTACTCCAGTTAACACGGTTTTTTTAACTTTTTCGATCGTTCTTTCCAAAGCCCTTTACTTGTCCGTTTCCTTCCAGTGGGTACCAGACCAAAAAAAGACGTCTTTTGAACAATCAAAAGACTTCTAAAACGTGTATAAGACGTTTAAAAGACGTCTTTTTTATGTCCGTTATCATTGTATAAAGCGTCGTATTGCTCGTGGCAACAGCAACACGATTTTTCGGGTGTGCAGAAAAGTACATATACATACTACCTTCTTTTGGCCTGTTACAAAATCAAAGCCGTCCCGAGGAGATCTCAAAGGAGAGAGGAGGGGTGGGGTAGCTGTTTTTACCGACTAAAGGCATCAACAAAAAAAAGATCCTCATTTTTTGACGTTTGCCGACTAAAGGTTTAAATTTGCCGACTATTTTTGAAAAAAGTTTTTGAAGAAAATTTTTGAAGAGGAAATACTCGGTGTATAATTTTAATATATTATCGCTTTTATACAAACAAATTGAGATTTTTTTTATTTTAATTTTTTTTGTTTTAGGTGCTTCAAGAAGACCTAACGTCTTGTATCAGAGTACTACGGAAGTAGAATGTTCACGCCTCCATCTTTACCGATGACGCGAAAAATGCCCAGTTTTTATTCTTTGGTCACTTATTACTAAGTAAAATTGAACACGATGAACGTGTTAATCAATCAGCATTATACTTATCTAGTCTAAACCGTTTGTTGTAGCTGTAGTAACAAAGTTCGGTACGTTATTTTCAATTTTTAGTTTATAAGTATTTATAAAGGGCCTTCGAGATGGAGGGTGTAGGAGTGTCTAACCCCCCTAGGAAATTTATATTCAAAAATTATTCAGCAAATGATGATATTGGAGTGGGCAAAATTAGATCTGTAGTTGGCAGTCGGCAAATGTTAACCAACAAGGACTTTTTTTAAAAAAAAATGTTAGTTGAAAAAACAGGTACGTCACCCCCATCCCCTTCAAGATCTCCTTGGGACAGTCCTGCATATATATATATATATATATATATATATATATATATATATATATATATATATATATATATATATATATATATATATATATATATATATATATATATATATATATATATATATATATATATATATATATAAATGAAAAAAGAAAAACATTATTTTCAAATTTTGGTTTTACTTTTATCTACTGGTACTTTAAAGTACCTACAGCAGTGAATAAAATATTTGATTGAATTTTTCAAACAAATACTTATAAATCTAACAAACAATATATCTAAGCAAAATTAGGCTTATCTGGGTTTTTTTCTGATAATTAAGGTGCTCTGTGAAGACCTAAAAAATAAAAAGTGCCATGACCGACGACATGGTTTTCAATGTGGTGGGATACAGTTGTCAATTTCTATTAAAAGTTTTCTTTATCTAGAAAATTATTTAAAAAAAAAAGTCCTTCACAAATAAAATGGGGGACATGCGCTACCTGGTCCGCCCGTGTCGTCGGCTTTGAAGGGCTCTGCGGAAGAGGATTTAACAAGTTAACAAATTTAACAAGATAAATGTCTTATCAAATCTCAGACCTAATAAATAGAGGGGCGTTCTAACCTTTGTCTCGTAACCTTCGTCTCATGCTCTGATTTCTAATAAACAAATATTTTAAAACTTTCTATAGTTTACTTTATTGTACTTTATATAATAAAGTTGAAAAAACTGTGGTTTAACAAACGGATCATCTACTGCATGGACCAATAATTTAGCTCGCTAATAAGGTGTTTCCATGGTTTCAGAAACCATGGAAAAAACGTTAAACCTTTGATTATTGTGATTTACCTAAAATCAAAATCTTTATTATCTTTTTAATGTTGGAAAAAACATTTTAGAATTTGTCAAAGACAAAACATTACAATATTGAGCTATTATTATTTAAATTGTTAAACTCTTCACTATTTTGAACCAACTATTCCAACACATAAAAATTGCATTTCTTATGAAGAAATATTGTTTTAACAAATAAATTTTCCTCCTCTAAATTTATTTCTTAAAACGAGAAATGTATTTATTATTTGATAAAATTCTTAAACTATGAACAATTAATTGGCAATTTTACTGTATTCAAGTCCATTCAAAAACTGTTGAATTTTTAAAAGACTAGATGGTGGAAAGGGTTGGATGGGTTCGGAAGTATAGAAGTAACGGATCCAACATTTTAATGGTGTTTGAGATAACTGAATTCTAAACATGAAGCAAACTCTAAACATTTATATGTTTTTGCATTCATTAATCTATAAAGCAAAATCTTTCCTTAATATTATTTTCTTTTTTCCTCAGATTGTTACTATCAAAAATTTAACTTGAAAAATTTAAATCTGAATCAAAACATTTTTTATTATCTACGGACTTAAATTTTTTTTTTTTTCTTTTTTAGTAAAAAATATAAACTAGCACAATTTATTTCTTTTATTTGCTTTAACTTTTATTTGTTCTAAATTTATTTACAAAACGAATTTATATATAAACAGTTATATCACTTGTGAAACGTAGTTTTACACATTTTATATATACTTTATCACAAGCATTTATCATGGTTTTATATACTTTATCGTAAAAAACGACCTGTAATGAAGTCAAACTGATGTTTTCTTCTTGCTTTAGCTATTTTTTTTATTATTTATGTTATTTTATAAATTGTAAATTTATACGGCAAAGTTAAAATATAAATAAATAAAAAAATAAATACATATGTCAAATAACAAGACCCAAAATTCCATCCCCCTCTCCCCACCCCTCTTTTCCCCACCACTTGACCCTAAATGTAAGGGCAACAAGTTGATAAGATATTTTTTATACTAGACTTACTTTTATTGATAAATTTTTAGTTTCATAGTTTTATCTCTCAGCGTTCAAAAATTATAACCAAATAAAATTTGTAACCCCTCAAATTAAGGGAGGTTTAAACTTTATATGGTCATAGTTTTTGAATTACACCATACTCACTGTAAATTTAGTGTGTTTATTCCTGCAAAGGGTAAATTTTTTAATATTAAATTATAGATTATTTTAATAAACTATATACAAAATATACTGTTTATTAATAATACAAATAATCATTAAAATAACATTAATATAAAAAAATAATATAAATAATCTTTCATAAAGTTTATAAAACGTTTTGCAAAGCAAACAAGAGCTACTGAAAGTTTTTTTAGATTTTTGATGGGCACAAAACTCATAGGAAAAACATTAATATATTGGATTTTGCTGAAAAAATTTAATAGTAGTTATAACGTCACCATCTCATACCATACATAAGTTGCAGCCATATGTGATTTATATGACTGGTGGCTGTGGGTTCAATTTACATAATAGAGTTGTAAAATATATTTTATTATAT